AAAAAAAAAAAAAAAAAAAAAAAAAAAAAAAAAAAAAAAAAAAAAAACCCAAAACCAAAGCATCCAACTCTTGATCTCGGCTCATGGTTCGTGAGTTTAAGCCCCACATCAGGCTGACAGTGCAGAGCCTACTTGGGATTCTCTATCTCCCTCCCTCTCTGCCCTCCCCTCCCTCCCTCCCTCAAATAAATAAATAAACATTTAAAAATAAATAAACATTTTAAATAAAATCTTTTTAAAAAAGAAAATATAATAAAACTTTTAGAACAAAACATGAAAAATTATTGAGATTCCATATACTAAATCTTTATTTAAGAATTTTATATAGGGGCACCTGGCTGGCTCAGTTGGTAGATCATGCAACTCTTGAGCTTGGGTTTGTGAGTTCAAGCCCCACACTGGGTATAGAGTATGCTTAAAAATTTTTTTAATCTTAAAGAAAAGACATATGTCATTTTTCAAGTCTCATTATCTTCATCTGATTCTAAATTCTGATTTTTCCTACAGAAGATGAAAAGGTTGACTTGGATGTGTTGATGGAAGCAGCCAGTGCTTTTACAGGTGAGTGAGAACTTGTGTAAGATACCATAAAGTTGAGATCTTGATGCCTTGTAGAGAATTACCCTTTTAAAGCAGTACTTGAGCAGTAGAGCAGTACTCTCTAGCCATCATCAGTAAGTATGCTTTGTTCTTTTACTTATTTATTGATGATTTTATCTTATTGCCAATAACCTAGATTCTTAGAGATTTAGGAAGAGTGTGGGCACTTTCAAAAAGAAGTATTAACTTGTTCAATATTTTGGTCAGTGTTTATTTCTCCAGTGTTTAGAGAATCAAAATATAGGTGAACACAGTAAATCTCAATGTGAAGTTTTTGCATCAGGAAATATGGTCACTAGGAACAGTCAGCCCCATAACTCAAGTCATGAAGCAATATCAGAGCTATTATTTACCAGTATAATTATGTTCAGTCCATATACCATCATACTGCCCCCATGTTACTCCATGCTATATTGATCCACACACAGAATAGAAGAGTTGTCTTCTTATTTTGATAAAAGAAACTTTTCAGATGTTGAATTTTACAATTACTCTGCATAAGTGGAGTCAGCTTGTGTATTTCAACTTCATCCTACAGTTAGAAATAATGCTATACTATATTATGTTTTTCATAATGAAGAAGAATTAGATTTCTTAATATTTTCACACGAAATGATTCCTATCTATTCAAAGGAGAAAAGGCAGAAGCCAGTGACTTAAAAAATGTACTGGGAAACATGGGAATTGAGATCACTGAAAAAGAGGAGTTGATGCTGTCAGAAACTCTTCCAGTCTCTGGTGAGTATGTAGCACACCACCATGGAGTTCAGGGAAACGTGGCACTGTGGGCTTCTGGGTGAGAACTGTCTAATTCCCTAAGAAACCCCCTAAGGAAAATGCAGTCCAGACATAAGAAACCCCATTCTCATCACTTGTGTTTTAGTTAGGAAATGATTAATTTATAAGTGAAAAATATACAAGTCAATGGGCCCTTGCTAAATATTTTTTTAACTTTTTTAAGTTTATTTATTTATTTTGAGGGAGTGAATGAGGAAAGGCAGAAAGAGAAAGAGAGAGAGAGAGACAGAGAGAGAATCCCAAGCACATTCCACACTGTCAGTACAGAGCCTGATACAGGGATCGATCCCAGGAACCATGAGCCAAAATCAAAAGTCAGATGTTTTAGTGACTGAGCAACACAGGCGCACTCCCCTCCCCACTAAATATTTTAAATGCTACACAGCTGAACTCTCCATGGCCCCCCTGAATGTGCCTTCCCGTCTCCCCATAATCCAGCAACTAAATGATAAACACCTGAGAGCAGGTCACCTCCAGGGCCATGTGCTGGGACTGTTACTATCTGAATCTGATTGGTCAGTCGTCCAACCAGTCAGTCCCTCAAAAATTCCGCCTCTTGGGCACCTGCACGTACTCGCCCGTAGAGACCCAAGAGGCCAGCCTGTGCTCAGCCTGTGTCTCCTGCCCAGTCTCAAGGACCTCCATGTAGACCTTCTTCCAGTACACACACTCCATAGCTCCTGTCCCCACTTGTCCCTGAAGCAAGAGCGAGCCTACACATCACCGAGGGGGCTAGTACCCCTTGATGGCAGAAGCAGCACTGTGGGCAGCAAATGCCCGACGCCCATCTGTATTCTCCTCACACACACCTAAGGCTGTGGCCGCTCACCGTGCCTCGCATTCCCCCAGATTGTTCTCAAGGAGCTGATTATGAGAATTGGGATATCGGGGTCTACGGCCATACCACCCTGAACGCGCCCAATCTCGTCTGATCTCGGAAGCTAAGCAGGGTCGGGCCTGTTTAGTACTTGGATGCGAGAATTGGGATATCGGCTCTGAGAGAGCAGGTCAGACGCACAGAGAAGCAGATGGGCGATCATGGCGATGCCTGCATATACTTGCCAGGCAGGCAGGCTCTGTGGAGTCTGTCAACACCGCAGACGCTCCCGCCACAGGAAGGGGCCCTTTGGGACAGACAGCACCTGTGGAGATGGGTGGGGCTGGCAGATGTCCCTTGTTCTCCGACCCTGTTGCATTTCCTCTCCATTTATGAAAACAGTTTGTTTAAAGAACAAAATTTATTGAAATATTGTTTTATCCTACTGTTTGGGTTGATGACTATTTTTAATAAAATCCTTTTCTAGGCTCTATCATTCAGGCTACACATAGAGGAATCCCTTGCGGGCCTAGAGCATTGGCAGGGAAAAGGGAGAAAGGCAGAAGCATGAAAGTTAAAGAAAACTAAGAAGAAAGAAGCACATATATGGGTGTATTCGCAGCCTGCATCAGCTACTGTCATAGGTTCCACTGAGGAAATAGATTGAGCACATTGAGGGCATTCCTTTTATTATTATTTGAGGATGAGAGAGAATAAATTTCTTGATGAATCATATCAAATGTCTTATGAAGTTATATAATTCCTTATCCCTTTTCTTTTGACTTGAACTTTACCCTCTCCCACAGGAGATGGAAAGGTGTACAAGAAAAGATTACTGAATAGTGTGAAACCTCTCAAAGGTAAGAATGAGGAGAACAGCAGCTAAAATTTATTATGTTTTGCATTTGCTTTTTTTCTTATTCCTTTTTTTTTTTAAGTTTACTTATTTATTTTGAGAGGGAGAGAGAGAGCAGGAGCTGGAGAGGGACAGAGAGAGAGAGAGAAAGAGAGAGAGAAAATTCCAAGCAGGCTCCACACTGTCAGCGCAGAGCCTGACATGAAGCTCATTTCCGTGGACTGTGAGATCATGACCTGAGCAGAGATCAAGAGTCAGATGCTGGAGCGCCTGGGTGGCTCAGTTGGTTAAGCGTCCAACTTCGGCTCAGGTCATGATCTCGCGGTTTGGGGTTTCGAGCCCCGCATCGGGCTCTGTGCTGACTGCCAGCTCAGAGCCTGGAGCCTGATTCAGAGTCTGTCACTCCCTCTCTCTCTGACCCTCCCCTGCTCACACTGTCTCTCTCTCTCTCTCTTCTAGAAATAAATTTAAAAAAAAAAGAGTCATATGTTTAACCAACTGAGCCACAGGCGCCTCTGCCTTTTTAAATTTCTGATTACACTCATGCTATTCCATTATTCTACTGGTTTAATGACATTGAACTTATGCTCATAACCTACCACTCTTCTTTAGGTATAACTACATGAAGTTATTCTTAATAATATGCAGGAAGTTTGAGATTCTGATTTCATTTACATTGATTATCACAATTCATCACTTATCTAATTCTTCTTTTCATCCATGAATATTTCTTTTTCAAAAATTTTTAACATTTATTCATTTTTGAGAGACAGAGAGAGACAGAGCATGGGAGGTGGGGATAGAGAGAGAGGAAGACACAGAATCGGAAGCAGGCTCCAGGCTCCTAGCCATCAACACAGAGCCCGATGTAGAGCTTGAACTGACAAACCGTGAGATCATGACCTGAGCTGAAGTCGGATGCTTAACCAACTGAGCCACCCAGGCACCCCCATGATTATTTCAATTAAAAGTTATAGCACAGTGGGGCGCCTGGGTGGCTCAGTCGGTTAAGCATCCGAATTCGGCTCAGGTCATGATCTCACGGTTTGTGAGTTCGAGCCCCACGTCAGGCTCTGTGCTGACAGCTCTGAGCCTGGAGCCTGTTTCCGATTCTGTGTCTCCCCCTCTCTCTGACCCTCCCCTGCTCATGCTGTCTCTCTCTCTCTCTGAAATAAATAAAATATTTTAAAAAATGTTATAGCACAGTGCTGAGGGAGCATTTTCTCTTCTCAGCTCCAACACTATCTGGGTTCATTTAAATGGCTCATGTTTCACTCTTCACTTATGGTGCATACACATTCAAAGCTAGCATCTTCTACTTCTTGGACTTACTTATATTATTTACATCCTCTTCTTTCCTAAGGGAAAAGAGTCAGTATCGGTAACCTGGACCCCCTTATAAAGAGCATGGGAATTCAGCTTGAGAAAGAGGATCACCAGGACTTACTGAAACACCTGCCGACTGAGAGTAAGTACTTCAGATACCACTGCACCTTAGGGCTTCTATCTGAGGGCTTCTGAAGGCAAACCTATTGTTTAATCCCTTTGAAAAACGTATGAAAGATTTCAAACACCTATCAAAGCAGAAAACAAACACTATAACAAATACTTGTGTATCCGCTGGCTAGAGTTAACAGATGTTATTATTTTGCTATATTTCTTTCATACATCTTCCTTCCTTTCCATGTATACCTTTTGTTAAAGAAGGTAGTTTCATTAATGACTGAATAAGACCCATTTATCTGGATACAAATGTCACAGAGGCAAAGGCAGTAGAATTCATTAGAAAGAGTTTGCTAAGGGGTAAGAGCCCAGCTAAAATCTCCTGAATTAGAGGGCTCTTAAATTCAAACGCAGAGGCAGTGGCTTCCCATTAAAAACCTGATGCAAAACAACTTGTAAGTGAGCCAGACAGCACATCTTCCAGCACAGCCAGCACATGCCACACCCAAATAAACACATTATTCTTCTTCCCTCATTCAGGGTTCTATTCTCAACTAACGATTGGCAGGTGGGGCTAAGGCCACTGTCACCAGCAAACATCTTTGCTACCCCTACCTGTAGCTGGCCTTAAATGTAGAAAACAGCTTGAGCCCACCTCGTAGTTTAATATTCCCTCTCCCTGAGTAAGTATCCATTATTTTGTCTGGCGCCTCTTCTCATCATGAAAAAAATCACTATAAATCATTTCGTTGTGACATTGTCCCCACATGTTAGCTAGGGGCCCTTAAAATGCTTCCTACCCAAAAAGGTCTGAGTGTTTTGAGGCCATTTAAAAAGAAAAAAGGACAAAATAATTTTTTCTCTAATCCAACAGTGTGATTACTGTACCACTGGAATTTAATCATATATTTAGCTAGCACAAAACTAGATGCAAAACACTGAACTAGAGAGTGTACAGTTTATACGTGGTAGAACAAAGGAAATTAAAGCATAATCTCTGCTCTCAAACAGCTTACTGTCCTGAGGGGTGGAGGCGGGGAATGTAAGCAAAATTTCCAGAGTGGGAAGACAGCATTCTGTCAGGGCTTAACGGTCAGCTGCTTATGTAAATAAATGACATCTAGGCTTCAAATTCCATGTTGTCTCCTGAAATATGCTTCCTTATTGGGTCTGAAGGAAGGGAGAGTCCTATTAGAAGGAATTACAGCTGATCCTTGAACAACATGGATTTGACTGTGTGGATCCACTTATGTACAGATTTTTTTAGACTTCTTTATTAACATTTTCCTTTCCCTACCTTTCTTTATTGTAAACATACAGTAAAGAACACATATAACATATAAAACATGTGTTAATTGACATTTTATGTTATCGGTAAGGCTAGAGGTCAATGGTAGGCTGTTAGTAATTTTTGAGGAGTCAGAAGTTACACATGGATTTTCAACTTTGTAAGCGGATCAACACCCCTACCTCCCACGTTGTTCAAGAACCAACTGTATTATTAAACCTGCTTAATCTCTGTGTTAAGGGTCATTGGATACTTTTTACCCGGTGGTATTAATTAGAAGGATGTTCACTTTAACATTTTGATCTCTCTCTGTTTATTTTGAGTTTAAAAAGTTACTAAGGAAAATTATGAAAAAATGGCTGAATTTGAACCCTTTATATGACTTAAATTCTTCATATCATTTTTCTGTGTCTAAGAGTTAGTCTATGTCTGAATTGCCTTTTTTTACAGAGAATAAAATGGCCGATTTGAATGTGGTGATGGATGACGCAAAAGCTTTTACAGGTAAGAAGTAGTGGTAAAAAGCGAATTCATTGTTAACTCAGACCTTACTGCTTTATAGGGGGGAAAAAGATGCTTTTAAAACAGTAGTTTTCTCTTCAGCTATCACTGACATGTGAAGTTGACCTGCCCCTCCCCCTACAAATTTAAGGGTTAAATGTTTGCTTTATAATCTTACTGTTTGATTTGGGATTTTTCCTGTGTAGACCTACTTATATGGAGTTTGGACCAAGAATGTTTTCCACTTTACCATTGTTCAAACCACCGAAATAGAGGTGATCACTGTTCAGTCTCAAGGTGAAGTTTTTGTAGGACAACCAGGAAGTAGGTGTCAAAAGACCCCGTTATTCAAGAAATACAATGGCATTTGACTTATCTGGGATTGTATCTACTTTTCTTTTGCTTGAATTAAAAGTATAAATTCTATTACTGAACATAATCCATTCGCCCACATGCACTCTAAATCTACACAGGTTAGCAAGTTTCACTGTCAGTTTCCTCTTCTAAGTAAGCCTATGCCGCATAGGCAAGCTTCTCTATAATTTGAAATCATTCGTCCATTCCTAAAATTCTTACGTGTGAGCATTTCTCATCTTTCCAAAGGAGAAAAGGTTAATGTCGGGAATCTGAACAGTGTGCTAAGGAAAATGGGACTAGTACTCACTGATGAGGAGAATGGGGAGCTGCTGAAGACTCTGCCCATTCATGGTGAGCATTTAGCACATCTTTGAAACTTGGATTAATGGGCTTATTATGAAAACCGCTGAAATCACTTATGCATATGTCTAGTAAAACCCATTTAGAAAACTTGGTGTCCCCAAAGAAGAAATCCTGTTCTTACACTTACACTTTAATATTGAAAATTGGCAACATCTTTTACTAATCTTCATCACCAAGGCTAAATTATCACAGCTTCACTTAAATCCTGACCAAGGAAATGAGGGAAACCAGAGGAAAGGGGGAGAAATAAGGAGATAAAGGCTGTTTTTAATTCAACCAGTAGGTAGATTTATATCAGCGAAAGCCTTATCTTTGATTTCATGCTTCCTTGAGGGCAAAATAAAATAAAATCCTGAAGAAATCTGAAGCATTTCCCCCCCTGAGATTATGGATGTTGGATTGTCTTTGTGCTGTATTTGTTAATCTTCCCTTCATTTAACCTGTATTCTTAACCGTGTCTTGTCTTGCAGCTGATGGAAAAGTATATAAGAAGAGATTGCTAAAAGGTGTGAAAGCACTCGAGGGTAAGTGAGAAACACGTGAGAGCGCAAGTAAAAATAAATTCCTCATGTTCAGCATTTGCCTTTAAATGTTCCAACTTTGCTTCCTGCCAATTTTTTAATCCATTGTTTTGGACTGATAACTTCCCATTTTTCTTTGGGTGCATTGACATTTCAGGATGGAAATTCTAACACTGAGTTCTAGCTAACATTCGGTAGGGTTAAATTATTTGTCAGCAATTTAGTGGGAGAACAGGGACCAGGCCTCAGCACAAAGAAAAGCTGTACTACAGATGAGGCCTATTGTACAGCTAGGACTGTACAGACCGGCTGCTGTTTGAACCATGAGTAGACTGGCCTGTTCCTCTCTGTTCACCTCTCTTGGAAAACTGAAGCCATGTCCACTGTACGGGTATTAAGGAAAATATCCTATCTCTACCCTTTATACTAATTCTGTTGTAAACAATTTTTTTTTATTTTTAATCAGAAATTATTTTTAAAACACCAAATACTACAAGAAAACTGTCCAATTCTACCACTTAGAACACTGATAAAATAATTTTAAGTCAAGGGACACCTGGGTGGCTTAGTCAGTTAAGCATCTGACTCTTGATTACAGCTCTGGTCACGATCTCACAGTTTCCATTCATGAGATCTGGGGATTGTCTCTCTCCCTCTTTTTTTTTCTGCCTCTCTGCTGCTTGTGCACATTCTCTCTCTCTCCCTCTCCCCTTCCCTCCCTAAGAATAAATAAATAAACATTTTTAAAAATTCTGCAAAGAATTATAAGTCAGGTCATGGGTATATAATGTACAGCATGGTGATTATAGTTATAATACCATATTGTTTCTTTGAAAATTGCTAAGAGATGGATTTTTAAAGTTCTCACCACAAGAAAAAAAATGTGTGACTCTGCATGGTGATGGATGTTAATAAGACTTATTGTGGTGATCACCCTGTGATAGATACAAATACTAAATTACTATGTTGTACATCTGAAACTGATATAATGTTGTGTGTCAGTTGTATCCCAATTTTTTAAAAAAGTGAGAGTCCTCCTACCCCCCATCAATCTCATCAGTTTCCATAAAGGTAAATACGTTTACTGTCCACCTTTGTCTCAATGGTTATCTTTCTCAATTTTTTCCTACTTTCAACAGAAATATCTAAGTCTAGGGAGAGATATATGTTAATAGTTTCTTCGTGCTCTTTTGCCTTATCCTCCATTGGGGTTTATGATGCATGACCATGATTAGCATTTTCACTCTTAAGCATCAATATTCATGTTCTTATTTCATGCCCTTCTTTCCTAAGGACCAAGGGTCAGACTGGAAAAAGTGAAATCCCTTGTGGGAGACATGGGAATTAGACTGAATGATGAGGAACTCGAGGAACTAATGACCAAAGTGTCAATTGACGGTGAGTATTACAGGTATCATTATGCCCTTCAAAGAAATATTGCACCCTTCTATCAGAACTGCTGAAGGCAGCCTTCCTTTTTTGTATTTAACAAAGTAAATGTAAGTAGAAAAACTTAATCTTGACTCATTAGGAACAGTGTCTCCAAAAATGCTTTTTTAAAAGCTATGTTGCAGGAGCGCCTGGGTGGCTCAGTAGGTTGAGCGTCTGACTCTTTATTTTTCTTAATGCTTTATTTACTTTTTGAGAGAGAAAGCATAAGCAGGGGAGGGGCAGAGAGAGAGGAGGACAGAGGATCTAAAATAGCAGCAAGCCCAATGCAGGCCTCAAACTCTAAACCATGAGATCATGACCTGAGCCGAAGTCGAATACTCAACCAACTGAGCCATTCAGGCGCCCTGAGCATCTGACTCTTGATATGAGCTTACATGTCATGATTTCACGGTTCATGGGATCAAGACCCAAGTTGGGTTCTGTGCTGACAGTACAGAGCCTCCTTGAGATTCTCTCTCACCTTCTCTCTCTGCCCCTCTCCTGCTCACATTGCGTGCTCTCTCATTCTTTCTCTCTCTCTCTCTCTGTCTCAATAAATAAATAAATTTTTAAACTATATATGTTGGGGATACTATTGTAAAAGTCAGTCATGCCTGTAATGCTACACATACAAGTCACTGAAAGAAAAGTGAATTTTTTTTACCTCATTTATAGTGGAACGCGTTCGGGGCACCTGAGTGGCTCGTTGGTTAAGCATCCGACTTGGGCCCAGGTCATGATCTCACTGTTCTGGAGTTTGAACCCTGTGTTGGGCTCTGTGCTGACAGCTCAGAGCCTGGAGCCTTCTTCAGATCCTGTGTCTCCCTCTCTTTCTCTGCCCCTCCTCAACTCATGCTCTGTCTTTCTCTTTTTCCCTCTTTCTCTCTCTCTCTCAAAAATAAGTAAACATTAAAAATTTTTTCTGTAAGGGAACATGTTCATAAGGGAATATTTCAGGGGAAAATTAACAAAGTCAGAAATCAAATGATGAATTTGGAAACTAATTTGACAATAAACTATTTGTAAAAAAAAAAAAGAAATCAAATGATGAATTAGATGAGAATGATTGCAAGACAAAGAGCTAGTACCCCAATGGTAGAAAAAGCCCCCACATATCAATAAAAAACGTACTGAAAGCAGAAAAATAGTTAAATATACAAACAGATAATTCATAAAAGAGCACTATAATTCCCCAGTAACATATGAAAAGATGTCTGACCTCACCAATAATCATAAAAATACAAATAAAACAAAATACAGTATTATTTTCACTCATTGGGCAGGCAAAAATTAGCAAGATTGATAATATCTAGTTTTGGAGAGGATATGAGGAAAGGGACTCACTGACAGGTAAGCATTTGCCTTTGCTATATATGGTCTTAGAAAAGTCACATATCTGGGGGTGCCTGGGTGGCTCAGATGGTTAAGCGTCTGACTTCAGCTCAAGTCATGATCTCACAGTTCGTTGGTTCAAGCTCCACATCAGGCTCTGTGCTGACAACTAGCTCAGAGCCTGGAGCCTGTTTCAGGTTCTGTATCTCTCTCTCTCTCTCTCTCTCTCTCAAAAAAAAAAAAATTAAAAAAAAATTTTTTAAAAGAAGTCATGTAGCAGTATCTATGGGAGGGTGGAGAGGGCCTTCCCTTTTCCCCTGGTGAATCTAGCCAATAGGCCTCATCTGTAGTACAGCTTTTCTTTGTGCTGAGCCCTGGTCCCTGTTCTCCCACTAAATTGCTGACAAATAATTTAACCCTACTGAATGTTTTTTTTTTTTAATGTTTTTATTTTTTTTTATTATTTATTTCTAGGAGAGAGAGAGAGACAGCGTGAGCAGGGGAGGGTCAGAGAGAGAGGGAGACAGAGACTCTGAAATAGGCTCCAGGCTCCGAGCTGGCAGTCAGCACAGAGCCCGACGCGGGGCTCGAACCCACGAACCGCGAGATCATGACCTAAGCAAAGTCGGACGCTTAACCGACTAAGCCACCCAGGCGCCCCTAACACTACTGAATGTTAGTGTCTTCCTATGTTAAATGGGAAGTTGAACTAAATAATTCTCTAGGGTCACTTCTTTCTCTGAAATCAATATAGATAAAACCTGCAAAGTACTTAATGCCGTGTCTAGAAGACTCAGCAAATGTTAGTCACGATGAAGGTGGTGGTGAAGGTGGCGGGGAAGAGGGAGGAGATGCTGGAGAAGAACAGGAGAAAGAAGAAAAGGAAATTCTATGACCTATGCATTAATTTTGCCATTTATGAAAATATAAGTCCTAATTGAATAAATGTTTGTTTACTGATTACGACCTTTATATAAATAAATAGGTGAGATGCAACCAGAGCATTTTATAAGAAATAGCACTGGGCTCACTGTCTTCCTCCTTCACTACTCCTGTCCTTGTTCTTGGCAACTTCCATATCTTTCATGCACACAGATCAGGGCTTTTGACTCTACTGTGCCATAGACTCCTTTGTCAGTCAGAGGAATGGATCACTTTGGAGTATAATATTTTTAAATGCATAAAATAAAATAGGTAAGATTATGAAGAAACTGTATCAACTTATCAAAACATTAAAGATACCAATTATTAGTACCTAATAACACATTTAACAAGTTCTAGTAGTAGATCTAATAATTAATTAGAATTTTAAAGTAGTGATGAGTAGGGCACTCAGTCAGTTAAGCATCTGACTCCAGCTCAGGTCATTGTCTCACAGTCTGTGAGTTTGAATCCCATGTGGGGTGAGCTCAAGCCCTGCTTTGGGTGAACCCCACTTCCCTCTTTGTCTCTGTCTCTGCCCGTTGTGGGATTCTCTCTCTCTCCCTCTCTGTCCCCTCACTCATTTGCACCCTCTCTCTCAAAAAAATATGTGTATACAAAGGGGCCACCTGGGTGGCTCAGTACTTTAAGCGTCTGACTTTGGCTCAGGTTATGATCTTGCAGTTCAAAGGTCCAAGCCCCAGATTGAGCTTTTTGCTGACAGCTCAGAGCCTGGAACCTGTTTCGGATTCTGTGTCTCCCTCTCTCTCTGTCCCTCCCCTATTCACTCTGTCTCTCTCTCAAAACTAAATAAACATTTTAAAACATTTTTAATAATAATAAATAAAGTACTGATGAGCGTAACTTTTCAATATATTTGCAAGAGGTACCATATAATATCCAAAATGTCAGTGATTTGTACTCATAGCAAAGTCATAGGCTTTACTACTATGACTGTGGTTTGTTGCCTAATTAATAATCAAAGAAAATGCACCAGCCCCCTGTGCAGTCAGAACTTAACTACTAATAGCCTACTGTTGACTGGAAGCCTTACCAATAACTTAAGTCAATTAGCAAATATTTTACAGGCTATATGTATTATATACTATATTCTTACAATAAAATAAGCTAGAGAAAATAAATTGTTATCAAGAAATCATAAGGAAGATTGGTGTGCCTGGCTGGCTGAGTCAGTAGAGCATGTAACTCTTGATCTCAGGGTCATGAGTTCAAGCCCCACATTGGGTGTGGAACTTACTTAATTTAAAAAAATCATATTGAAGGGGCGCCTGGATGGCTTAGTTGGTTAAGCGTCCGACTTTCGCTTAGGTCATGATCTCGCGGTTCGTGGATTCGAGCCCCGCGTCAAGCTCTGTGCTGACTGCCAGCTCAGAGCCTGGAGCCTGTTTCAGTCTGTGACTCCCTCTCTCTCTGACCCTCCCCAGCTCACGCTGTCTCTCTGTCTCCTAGAAATAAATAAAACACTAAAAAATTTTTAAAAAAATCATATTGAAGAAAAATACATTTACAGTACTATACTGTATTTACCAAAAGTGTCCATGTATAAGTGCTGTTCAAACCCATATTGTTCAAGGGTCCACTGTACTTTTTTCCCATTCAAGCTCAAGGACTCCCTGAATTCTATCATTAGAGGGTCCATAAACCCCAGGTTAAGAAATCTTGATTAAATCTTAATTAACTCCTGTTATAAGTCACCTGTCTAAACACCCTGACCTCCTGTTCCTTGACTTCTTTAATTTCACTCATCTTTCACTCCTGTCCCCTTAACTGCTACTCACATGGTGATGACCTAGACCTTGTCCTCACCTTATACCTCATCATCTCCCAAAACTCTATTTCATTACCCACCCTCTGACATTTATCTTTACAGTTTATTTACCACGCAGATATTTCTGCCATAACACAATGTAGGAATGCCTGAAGAACCTCCCATTCCATAAAATGTAAATTGCCTCCTAGGGGCACATTACTTAGTGTTGTCTGGTGACTGATCGTAGCAGCTACACTTGTGAGCATAGCATAATGTATAACCTTGTCAGATCTCTGTGTACACCTGAAACTAATAGAACAATGTGTGTCAACTATACCTCAAAAAAATCCCTACCACTTGCTGTGACTCTGTCTCCTCTTCCTCATGCCCATTCACCCTTGAGCCTCATTCCCTACCATGGAACCAGACCAGCTCACAATCATCAGTGACCTCTCTCTCTTGCCAAGATTCATGCTCAAGTCTCTGTTATTTTACTTGGTATCTCATCAGCATTTGACATAGTGACTAACTCATCTTTGTTGAAACATTTTTTTCTCCAGACTTTTGAAGCCCCATACTCACCTAATTTTTTTCTGTCCTTACTGGGAGCTTCTTTTCAGTTTCTGACTCTTTTTCCCCTGCAAGATCTCTAAATAATGAAGGGTCCAGGGATAAACCCTTGGCTGTTTTTTTTTTTTCTTAATCTACACCTTCTTCCTAGGGGATTGCATCCAGTCTCATTGGGTCAGATAACTTCTTTAAGCTGAGAAAAGCAAATTTATATGTCCAGCTCAACCATCCTAAGTCAGGAATGATATCTCAAACTAGCTACTTGATATCTCTACTTGGGTGTCCAAAAGGCATCACTAATTTAATGAAATATTGATTAATTCCCCTAAAAAGGCTTGAGTCTTTCTAGTAATGACATCCCATCTACCTTGTTGATTGAGAAGGAGGGTAAGGAGGGTCAGAGAAGGGAACAAATAGTTTCCCTTCCTTGATTTGTCCTTTCCCTTACATCCCACATTTAAATCTAGGCTCCACATGGAAAATATGTCCAGGATTCATCCATTTATCACCACCTCCACTGCTGACGCCACTAGCATCTCTTTCCTGGACCACTGAAACAGTCTCCTGTCTAGTCCCCATTCCTCCAGTTCCCGTGCACAGCAGCCAGAGTGATCTTTTGAAAGCTAAAATCTGGTTAAATTACTCTCCTTTCTCCAAGGCCTCCAATGACCTTCCATTGCAACCGGAATAAAACCCCACCTTTATCATGGGGGCCTACAGCGCCCTGCGTGATTTGGCCCATGCACACCAGCCTTTTCTCTGCCTCTCAATCACATCAAATTCATGCCCAACTTAGGGTTGTCCCTCCTGCTGTTTTTCTACTTGGAACTTTCCTCCCCTCTTTCTTTATATGGCTATCTTCTTCCTGTCATTCAGCTTGAAGTCTGAATAGTCCTCAGAGAGACCATCTCTGACTTCCCTGTCAAAAGCAATCCCACCACTATTCTTTATTATATAACCCTATTTTATTTCGATGATATTATAACAGTAATTCAAATGATCCTTTTTGTTTATTTGTTTATATGCCAATTGTCCGTTTCCCTCTGTGAGATTGTACGTCCACTCCTTGACAGCAAGAACTCTGCCAGCTGGTTTACTTTTGTACCCCCCCAAAGCCTAGCAAAGTGCCTGGCACACAGAAGGTACCCCCTTAAATATCTGTTGATTAACTGACTAAATTTTAAAAAATACTCAGGATCAGGTTCATTTGTCCTTTCCCCCATCCTTACTGTAACCAATCACTTCTTAGTTTAATCTTACTCTAGTGGTCTCTAAAGCAAAGAAAAAAGAAGATATAAGAATGATTTATTACAGATTGAAAGCTTTCTTCATTTCTAAGATAACACTGTTATCTCTGAGGTTAAGTCCATAAAATCCTAAGGAAAATTTAGGAAAACGTTACTGAATTCTCACGGTCTTCATAGTTTCAGAACTTATGTATCATAAATTTTGTGCGTCTCAGTTACACCAGCTTATCTGATTCTGAAGTTTATTGCCCTTGCCTTACAGATGATAGAACAATTGGTCTGAATGATTTGCTGAATGCCATCAGTTGCATAAAGAGTAAGTTCCAAGCTATGACAAAAGGATATTGTAAATAACATCTTCATATTTTGTTATTGGTGGAGAAAAATATTTCCCCTTCACATATGTTTCACTGCTTTCATATGTGTACTTTTATGGATGCTTCTGAACTTGGATGAACAGTATGTAATGTATATTTACATACCAATTCCCATAATATTCTCAGTAGTTTTTCCCAAAAGAGTTCTTCACCATAGTAGTAGATATCAAGAGCCAAAGAACTATTCCTTTTCCCCACAAACCACACTCCCAGAAATTTATCCTCTGGCAATAATTTAGCTGAACAAAAAGAGAAAAAAAATCTCTACCCAAAGACCTTCAGAGAAATTTGAAACAGCATAAATATCTAACAGTATAGGAATAACTACATATACTATGGCCTGTTAGGCCACTGAGATATCATGTGTTGAAATGTTAACTGTAAAGATTACATGGTAACTTGGAAATATGTTAATGACATAATATTAGGTTGGAAAAACAGAATACAGAATGGTGTGGATATTAGATTTCCACATAGTAAAAGTACAGCATTATTGGCAGAGGCCAGAAATGGCATATGAAAAACTACACATGGTTTTTGTGGTAGGGTAGCAGAAACATAGTTTTCCCTTTTTATATCAATCTTTAATTTTGCTGCATTATTTTTACAATGAATGAGAAAAAATTACTTCTTTGTTGAGATGAATAAAATTCTTGGAATGCATAGTGATCAGAGAAACTACAAGCAAATATTTTTAAATGAAAATAAAATGTTTAAGACTGGTCTATAGAAAAACACTGAATTTTCAAGCAGGGTAGGAGAACGGGTAAAAATAAAGCCAAATCCTTATATGTAGCTTAATTTGCTATGGATTTTGCAATAACTCACCAGTCAACTCCTGACCCATGGTGTACTTTCCGTTTTGTAGCCGCCAGAATTAAAGACACAGGACTTTTTTCTGACCTGTTAATTCTGGGTATTCGTGAGCAATAGTACCTATAAGTACAGATAGCAATTTTGATCCTTTATAAATAGTTCTATAATATTTACATAAATTATTTCTTTATTTTTCTAAGGAGAGGTGATTGCTCTCCAGGACTTAGATACCTTTCTAGCAAGTAAGGGGATTGAGCTCAAAGAAGATGACAAGAAGTCGCTGATGCCTCATTTGACAATTAAAGGTGAGAAAAATTCTCTTGTCTTCCCAGAAGTGTGTCTTTGTTATCCTGTATATAAAATCCTCAGAAATGATCCTTCTCTCTCTTTTTTTTTAAGTTTATTGATTTTGAGAGAGAGAGAAAGAGAAAGACAGCGATCAAGGGAGGAGGAGGGGGTGGGGGAGAAAGAATCCCAAGCAGTCTCTACACTGTTAACTCACAGAGCCCAGCTCGGGGCTCAAGCCCATAACCTAAGGGACCTAAGCCCATAACCTCAGGACCTAAGCCAAGATCATGACCTGAACCAAGATCAAGAATTGGACATTTAACCAACTGAGACACCCAGATGCCCCTCCCCCAAGCCTTTTATTTTTTTAATTTATTTTTCCCCCATCCCTTTTAAAGATCAACCTTTACCTGGCTCTTCTGCCTGATAATTATGATCATCCACCCCCTCATTCTTTTCTCAACCCTCTTTTTAATTGTCTATAAGAAGCCACTTCTGCTTCCTTGCTTCACATTCTTTGAATCCTTGCAGTTGGCTTCCTCACTCATATAGCCGTGACTCTACCGAAATAGCCCCCAGAATCCAAAATCACTAATGACTTCCTTTACCAGCTTCACTTATTCAAGATTCCCCGCATGGGAACAATCGAGGGTTTATTTCCGTCTTCTCAGTTTTAGCTCCTTCCCTCCCTTGGTTATATGGCTTCTTGATGGTTGCTTTAGTCACCAACTCTCCATGACAGTAGCTCTCAAATTACAGTCCAGGGACACCCCTCTCTTTTGGTAGGTCCATTAGTTCGAAACTTTTTTTTTAAATGATCTGACGCTTTTTAAAATACAATTTTTAATGTTTATTTATTTTTGAGAGAGAGAGATAGAGAGAGAGAGAGGCAGAGCACAAGCAGGGAAAGAAAAGGCAAAGAGAAAGAGGGAGACACAGAATCTGAAGCAGTCTCTAGCAGAATCTGAAGCAGAATCTGAATCTGCTGACAGCTCAGAGCCCAATGCCAGACTCAAACCCATGAACTCATGAGATCATGACCTGAGCCAAAGTCAGACATTTAACTGACTGAGCCACCCAGGCACCCCAGAAACTATTTTTAAAACAACACTAAAACATTATTTGTCTTTATCATTCTCATTCACTCACAAGCATACAGTAGCTTTTTTAATAAGCTACATAACATATCCACGCAATATATCTGAAAAACCTATGAAAATATTTCTTTTCTGACTACCTAACTCTATGAAGCCAGATTTTCTTCAACCAAAAAAGCATATCACAGCAAAGTAAATGCAGAAACAGTCTGAGAATCCCAGCTGTCTACTATTAAGCCAGACATTAAAGAGATTTGCAAAAATGTAAAACAATGCTATTTTAGCTCAGGCTGCTGTAACAAAAATACCATAGACTGGGTGGCTTATGAACAACAGAAATTTATTTCTCACAGTTCTGCGGCCAGAAGTCCTGGGATCAGGGTGCCAGCACGGCTGAGTTCCGGTGAGAACACTCTGGGCTGCAGATTGTCAATTTCTCATGGTATCCTCACAGGGCAGAGAGCACAGATCAGCAGGCTCTCTCCTGACCCATGTGGGCACTAATCCCGTGAAGGTCTGCCTTCATGGTCTCATCCTATTTTAATCACCTCCCCAGAAGCCTGCCTCCTAATACCATCACGTTGCTGATAGGATTTTTTTTAATGTTTATTTATTTTTGAGAGAGAGACAAGAGTGTAAGGGGTAGGGGCAGAGAGAGAAGGAGATACAGAATCTGAAGGAGGCTCCAGGCTCTGAGCTGTCAGCACAAGAGCCTGATGCGGGGCTTGAACTCACAGACCTCACAGACTGTGAGATCATGACCTGAGCCTAAGTCGGATGCTTAACCAATTGAGCCACCCAGGTGCCCCGATAGGATTTTAATATATGAATTAGGAGGGTTGGGGTGGGGGTGGGGGGGACACAAACAGTCAGTAACACTGCCTTTCCCACTAAATGTTAATGCTTTAATTTTTCATTTTCAAATGATATATATTTTTCATTTAAAAGTATGTTAATGTGTACTGGATTTATTATTGCTATTTTAAAATATTTTTTAAGGGTGCCTGGTGGCTCAGTCGGTTAAGCATCCAACTTCGGCTCAGGTCATGATCTCATGTGCTGACAGCTCAGAGACTGGAGCCTGCTTCAGTTTCTATGTCTCCCTCTTTCTCAGCCCCTCCCCCGCTCACATTCTGTCTCTCAAAAATTAATAAACATTAAAAAAATTTTAACATTTTTTAAATTTCTCAGTTTTAATAACTTATGGTAATTATAACCCACCTAATAATGATAACCCACATAAACCTCTTGGAGGTTGTCAAAAAGTTTTAAGAATTTAAAGATGCCCTGAGACCAAAATGTTTGAAAACCTTTGTTCCCGGAATTATTTTTTGTCACCATTGTGTTTCCAGCTGCCTGTTAAATATCTCTTCCTTTCCCACTAGTACCTTAAGCATCTTTTGTGGGTAAGAGTGGACTTTTTCTTTAACATAAGATGCACAGGGCTGAGCTAATCAGACTCCTCAGGATGGCACACTATCATTATTGGTCCCACGGAAAGACTCTTTGTGTTTCATTTTATTATTTTCCCTTTTACCTCCTGTTTCCATTCCTTGCTCCTTCCCTCCATCATAGGTACAATCTCTTTTTTTATTTTTTATTTTTTGTCCTTGCAAACTTTATTCTTTTTCCTTGTCAAATTCTTACTTAAATTCTAGTTAGTTAACATATAGTGTAATATTGGTTTCAAGAGATACATTCTGTATTATATCTAATATATGTTCTCCAGTCTACCTTCCTCATGTTTATTTTAGATAGGGGTGTATCCCTTTATTTTTTTAATTTTAATTTTTTATTTATTTAAAAAAATTTTAATGCCTGTTTACTTTTGAGAGAGAGAGAGAACAGAGCATGAACAGGGGAGGGATGGAGAGAGAGGGACACACAGAATCCAAAGCAGCTCCAGGCTCTGAGCTGTCAGCACAGAGCCCGATGTGGGGCTCAAACCCACAAACTGTGAGATCATCACCTGAGCCAAAATCAAGAGTCAGATATCTAACTGAATAAACCACCCAGGTGCCCCATTCCTTTTTCTCAAATCAAAATTTTTAGCAGCCTATTGAAATATAGTTCACATACCAAACAGTTTATCCATTAAATAATTCGAGGGTTTTTAGTATTCACAGATATGGGCAGCTATCACCACAGTCATTCTAGAACATTTAAAAAAATTTTTTTTTAATGTTTATTTATTTTAGAGAGAGAGAGAGACAGAGTACGAGTGGGGAAGGGACAGAGAGAGAGGGAGACACAGAATCTGAAGCAGGCTCCAGGCTCTGAGCTGTCAGCACAGAGGCCAACGCAGGGCTCAGACTCACAAACGGTGAGACCAGACCTGAACTGAAGTTGGACGCTTAACCAACTGAGCCATCCAAGCACCCCTAGAACATTTTCGTCACCTACAAAAAAGGTGCTATGTGTATGCACAGGGTGCTAAGGGGAGGATTTAGCCAAGACTGGGTGTTCCTGGAGAAGACCCTAAGCTGAACATGTACAGGAAGGTGGTTCCAGCCAGAGAAGCACACTCTGTATCCTCAAGAGGACAAGTTCACCACCTCACCTGTGTTCGTTCTCGAGAAGTGCTTGTTAGGAGAAACCCCATAGCAGCTCCTTCTCTCCCTATTCCAAGTCCATGCACTTGGCCAACATATTCTCTTCATATCTTTGTTTCTAAAATGTCATCGATCTGAGTTTGGAGAAGATGCCGCCAGATTTGAGCCCTGGTTCTTTTTATAATATCCCTTTTCCACCTGTCACCTTTGGAGTGTCAGACCTCAAAACATGGAAAAGAGGAGCTGTATTGAAGAGGGATCTGTCTCACTGAAGAGTTTTCCTTTCTTCCATCATACTCACGGGAGGGAAAACTGAATGCAAGTCCCAAGCAAACCAGTTTCTCTTGTTATTCTAACTCATGGATGAAGTTCCAGCCTACTGTGTCATTTTAATCACAACTTTTATCAGTTTTTATGAGTTTTTATGTGACTCCCTCTGTATCTGATTCAAATGTTTTACAGGAAATGGAGAGGTTAGAGTGCATTTGATAATGAAGGGCCTGAAGAAGTTTAAACGTGAGTGGAAATTTATGATTCAGTTTATAAAAATGGATAATCTGGTGCTATGCTTCTATTTTTACATGTGACTTTTTTTGGTTATAAAAGTAATACATATTCATTATAGGAAAGTTCTGTTTTTCATTATCAAAAGTTTCTATAATGAAAAAATGAAAGAATGAGAAAAGAAAATTTTAATAATTCTTAATTATATCACCCAATGATAATCTATAATTTTTCTCACCCCCAATTTTATTTCCTTATACACACACAATTTTTGTGCATTTAGCTTTAAAGTCATACTTTCAAAGTACTTTTCCATTTTCTTTTTTTTTTTTATTTTTTAATGTTTTATTTATCTTTGAGAGAGACAGAGACAGCGTGAGCAGGGGAGGGTCAGAGAGAGAGGGAGATACAGAATCCGAAGACAGGCTCCAGGCTCTGAGCTAGCTGTCAGCACAGAGTCTGACGCGGGGCTTGAACCCACGAACCATGAGATCATGACCTGAGCCAAAGTCGGACACTTAACTGACTGAGACACCCAGGTGCCCCTCTGTTTTCTTATTAATATTAAAATTTTACTTATTGATCATGATCTGACAATTCATGGGTTCAAGCCAAGTCAGGTTCTGCACTGACAGCATAGAGCCTGCTTGGGATTCTCTCTCTCTTTCTCTCTCTCTCTCTCTCTCTGACCCTCCCCCATTTACTCATGCTCTCTGTCTCAAAAATAAACTTTAAAAAAATCTTACCTACAGGGGTGCATGGGTGGCTCAGTCCGTTAAGCATCCGACTTCGGCTCAGGTCATGATCTCATGGTTCGTGGGTTTGAGCCCCCCATCGGGCTCTGTGCTGGCAGCTCAGAGCCTGGAGCCTATCTTCAGATTCTGTGTCTCCCTCTCTCTCTGACCCTCTCCTGCTCATGTTGTCTCTATTTCTCTGACTCTCAAAAATTTTTTTAAAAACTTTAAAACATTAAAAAAAATCTTACCTACAGATTGGTATGTCTAATGACCTAAAATTCCTTTTTAGATGCCTGTGAAATTTACATTTTGTTTGCAGCCCTCTTAGCATATTTATTTTTTGTTTTTTTTTTGTTTTGTTTATTTTGAGAGAGATGGAAACAGTGCAAGTTGGGGAGGGGCAGAAAGAGTGGGGAAGAGAAAGAATCTCAAGCAGGTTCCATCCACACTGCCAGCCCAAAACCTGGAAGGTGGGGCTTGAACTCACGAAACTGTGAGATCATGACCTGAGCCAAAACCAAGAGTCAGACACTTAACCAACTGAGCCACCCAGATACCCTAGCATATTTATTTCTAAAATAAGTTTTCCAATGCCAAAATGCCACAGTCTCTACTAGAAATAATAAATGGATGGTTTGAAAATGATGCTGTGAAACTTACCCAGAGAGGCAAGGTAAAACTTGTCTTCTGTCCCCTTGCCCCCACACACAATGTCAATCTGTACTTATTCTTCAGTAATTTTGATTTGCTCTCTGCGCCAGCATTCTTCAATGAGAATGATTTTGTAAAAATTGATATGTCTTTGAAAGCCTGATTGTGTTTCAAAAAGAATTTAAGAATAATTTAAGGTGTTTTATGGAAAATCTACAAAATGAATCTTAATAAGAGAAGATAAATTTAAATTCTGGGCACCCACACTAAACATTTCCAAATAATTCCTGTTGTATTTTACTATTTGTAAAGAAAAAAAATCCTTTGAATAGGTCCCATTCTATCCCATAGATTGCTGCTTCTGTCACTGATGCCAGAAAACTTTCAGAAATGTCTGCTTGGTAGTTTTTAATCCCAGCAGGTAAAATCATGATGCTGAATTTAGAGACACTGGAAGTAATCCTCTCTGATCATGTATAAGATCAGTGTTCATCCATAAGCATTTATTGAGTACCCAAACATTATAAAAAAGAAAGAAATTCAGCAATTAAAAGGGACAAGCAAAGTTCCTGCTCTCAACAAGACTATTTTTTGACTCAATGTGCTCAATAAATGCCTCTTGATTGACTAATAAAGGTTCTAGTCTCCTGCTTTCAGATAATTGAAGATTCATTAACCCTAGCAGCCGTATTCTGCTATGACCTGTAATGAGCAGGTCATTCTCATAATAACCAATCTGAGTCACTCTGAAGAAGTAGTTATGTAAAACTATGTAAAACCCCAGAGCACACACGGGAGTTCTGCAAATCAGAATTGATTGTTAAAAACCTTTTACAAAGCTAGGAAAGCCCACCTTCCCAATCCTCCCTGCTTACTTTTCCATTATTCTTCCATTTCTTCTTTTCCCTGTTTTTCTCTTCTCCCTGTCTCCATAATAGATTATTTTTCTTTCATTCCTGCTTCTACTTGTTTTCCTAGTAGTGTTGCCTCTTTTTTTCTTTCATTCTAGTCTCTATTACACATAAATGTTTCACACGTCCAGCCTGCTGTTCCACTGCTTTCTCCACTACGTAAGCCCATTCCAAATATATTTTATTCTGTGAAGTCCACAGTGCAGTAAAGAAAATGTAGACATTTGAAAGTATGTTTCATCATTTTAGAAATTTCCAACAGTAGTGTATATTCCACTAATTCCCCAAATACTACTACTCAATGTCCACTTCTTTTTTTTTTATTTGGAGTTTTGTTTTATTTATTATTAAGTTTTTAATCTTAATTCCAATGTAGTTAACATACTGTGTTATATTAGTTTCAGGTATACAATATAGTGATTCAACGGTTCTATACATTACTCAGTGCTCAACATGATAAGTGTACTCTTTTTTTTCAACTTTTTATTTAAATTCTAGTTAGTTATAGTTGTAATAATGATTCTAGGAATAGATTTTAGTGATTCATCACTTACATGTAACACCCAGTGCTCATCACAAGTGCACTCCTTAGTGTCCATCACCTATTTAGCCCATCTCCCACCCAACACTCCTCCAGTGACCCTCCGTTTGTTCTCTGTATATAAGAGTCTTTTATGGTTTGCATCCCTCTCATTTTTATCTTATTTTCCCTTCCCTTCCCCTATGTTTATCTGTTGTGTTTCTTAAATTCCACGTATGAGTGAAATCATGTGGTATATGTCTTTTTCTGACTGACTTATTTTGCTTAGCATAATATACTCTAGCTCCATCCACATCATTTGCAAATGGCAGGATTTCATTCTTTTTGATGACTAATGTTCTATTGTGTGTGTGTGTGTGTGTGTGTGTGTGTGTATAGAGAGAGACAGAGAGAGAAAGTATATATATGTCATATCTTTATCCATTCATCAGTCGATGGACATTTGGGTTCTTTCCATAATTTGGCTATTATAAATAATGCTGTTATAAATATTGGGGTTCATGTGCCTCTTCAAATCAGTATTTTTATCTCCTTTGGGTAAATACCTAGTAGTGTAATTGCTGGGCCATAGGGCAGTTCTACTTTTAATTTTTTGAGAAAACTTCATACTGTTTTCCATGTCCACTTCTTAAGTTTTCTTTATAGATGTAGGTATTAAGGGAACAGATCTTATTTCTGAATATTGTATTGACATTTTTGTACATTCAAATATGTACTACCGATTATTTAAGTTTTCACTTACAAATTTCTGATAACTAGATATACTCCTTTTGTTAAATAACAGCATTTTTTACATTTAAGTATCTTTTCTCCAATTCTCATTTCACCATTTCTATTTTTGTCAGGAGCAAAAGTAAATTTCAGTTATTAAGCAAAATAACGTGAAAATGACGCTTCTGTATGAACAACTTCAGACTTGCTAAAAATTATATCATTTGATGGTAAACATTCAAAATTCTACACTGGGGGCGCCTGGGTGGCTCAGTCGGTTAAACGTCCGACTTCAGCTCAGGTCATGATCTCACAGTTCGTGAGTTCAAGCCCCACATCAGGGTCTGTGCTGATAGCTCAGAGCCTGGAGCTTGTCTTCAGATTCCATATCTCCCTCTCTCAGGGCGCCTGGGTGGCTCGGTTGGTTAAACTGTATCTCCCTCTCTCTCTGACCCTCCGCTGATCATGCTCTTTCTCTCCCTCAAAAATAAATAAAACATTAATTTTTTAAAAAATATTCTACTCTGCCCTGCAATGCTGCTTGGGTTGTAGAGTTCTGAATGATAATTTCTAACACCATACTTATTAGGGCTATAGAAAAACTCTAATATACATTTAGGAAAGAAACCTACTGTGTAAAAATAGTCTGCCTCTTGTCAAAAACAGAAATCTTCCAAGACACATTCCCAACCAAAATGGCGTCACATGCAGCATCCTACAATGTAACAAGATGCCTCTAGCAAACTAATGTTGTGAGTAAGGAGAAGAACCAAGCAATAGAGAAGAGAAGAATGAGGGGGAAGGGACAGAATAAAGATGTTTGATAGGTTTTTCTTAATTACATAGTATGTGTTTTGTGTTAATATTAATCTCTCCCTTCCCATAAAGAAAATACATCTACTTTATGGGTACTGCCTTCTCCATGATAAATTACTGCCTTCTCCATGATAAAGGCTACTACATAGCCTTCTCAGCCTAAAAATGTGCTACCAAAAACTTTTCCATGTTCCCATAACCTGCAACTGACCTTTCTTGATATTAAAATAGTACATTATTGGCTTTATCTGGCCAAACTAAACCAAACTTGGAGAATTGACCCATTATATCCAGCACTTTTCTCCTGATTTTATCTCCTTATGTATAAAAAAAAACCAAACTACCCAACATTGTGAGAGGGGGGAGAAATGAATCAGTACTGTTAAAGTACTTGTTTGGTTGTTGTCCTGGCCATAGGGTGGGGTATGGCAAGGGGAGGAGAATTTTGAAGTTCATATCATAACAAATATTTTATGCATGCATTTCACAAGAGAATTCACTAGAAAAAACGCACCATTAAATGGTATATACTTAGTGAACAGTTCATAACCAAAGCACAAATGAAAATGAAATGGGAAACAGGTCATCCTCCTCAAGTCAATAAATTTCCAAAGTCATTTCACTTCTTTTCATCCTAAAAGATGATAAATGAATAGTCTTGCCTTTGATGTTGACTCTATAATGGTTTTCAAAAAAATTTTTCTGGAGTTTGATCCATTAAGGCACCAAAAGAGTATGAATCAAGAGGGAGCGGTATCACCAACTCGGGATGGAGGGACACACTTGTGATGAGCACCGGGTGATGTATGGAAGTGTAGAATCACTATACTGTATTCCTGAATCTAATATAACTCTCTATGTTAACTAACTGGGATTTATTTATTTCTGAGAGAGAGAGAGAGAGCGTGAGCAGGGGAGGGTCAGAGAGAGAGGGTGATACAGAATCTGAAGACAGACTCCAGGCTCTGAGGTAGCTGTCAGCACACAGCCCGACACGGGGCTCGAACCCACAAAGTGTGAGATCATGACCTGAGCCGAAGTCAGTTGCTTAACCAACTGAGCCACCCAGGCGCCCCTTAACTGGGATTTAAATCAAAACTTTTGAGAAATACAAGAGGCATATCACCTATAACTGACATTTTCTTCACTTTCCCACCCATCTGAGAAAAAATTAAGAAAATTATAATATCTTTCTACTCTACTTTTTGAAACATCAGCAATGTATATAATTTTTACTTTTAATCTTGTCTTTAATCTTAATCCTTTCAGCAAAAGGAATCATGCCACTGCACAAGCTGATGAAAACTGCACATGATACTAAAGGTGAGTGCAAGGCCTGATGTGAAGGAATTTAATACTTTTACTCCTATGTTTCAATCCCATAGTCATTTTGTCAGTTACTATCCTCCATCTACTTACTGCTAGGTGACTGTATACCACCACCTCTCTTGTTTTTCTGAGTTCCTTTCGTTTTTATAATCCATACCACACTGCATCACATGTGATTATCAGATATTTTACATTGTTTTCTAATGGATTTATTTGTGATGAATTTGTTTTTATCTCTAGTTACTTGGTACCTTTTTTGATGCAATATACAGTGCAGTTACATAAAGCTGGTGTTCCTAACTCTGCCACTAAAGAGATTAATTCAACTCACTGGGCTTTAGTGTCCTTATCAATAAACTGAAAAAGGTGAATGGGGGTGTCTGGGTGGCTCAGTCGGCTAAGCATCCAACTCTTGATTTCGGCTCAGGTCATGATCTCACATTTCATGAGTTGGGGCCCCATGTCAGGTTCTGTGCTGACAGCACCAAGTCTGCCTGGGATTCTCTCTCTCCTCTCTCTGCCCCTCCCCAACTCACATTCATCCTGTCTCTTTCTTTCTCTCTCAAAATAAATAAACATTAAAAAAAGAAACTAAAAAATATGAACATTTTGAAAAATGAAAAAGATGAATAAGATTAAGATCTGTTCCTTCTCTTTTAGTTGCAAAATTCAAACTTTTGTGGTTGAAAGGATATGATAAGAAAATGAAAAGACAAGCCACAGAATAGGAAAAAATGTTTATAAATTATATATCTGATAAGGGTCTAGTATCCAAGGCATATATAAAGAGCCCTTGTAACTCAACAATAAAAAGACAAATAACCCAACTTTAAAAACATTCAAAAGCTCTAAATAGATATTTCTCAAAAAAAGATATAAAAATGACTAATAAACACATGAAAAGATGTTCAACATCATATGTCATTAAAGAAATGCAAATCAGGGGCATCTGGGTGGCTCAGTCGGTTAAGCGGCTGACTTCAGCTCAGGTCGTGATCTCGCAGTTCCTGAGTTCGAGCCCTGCATCAGGCTCTGTGCTGACAGCACATAGCCTGGAGCCTGCTTCAAATTCTGTGTCTCCTTCTCACTCTGTCCTTCCCCTGCTTGCACTCTGTCTCTCTCTCTCTCAGGAAATGAATAAACATTTTTTTAAAATTTTAATGCAAATCAAAACCATAAGATACACTTCACACCCACTTGGATGACTATAATAAAAAAGACACTAATAAGTATTAATGAGGATATGGAGAAATTAGAATCCTCCTATATTAATGGTGGGAATGTAAAATGATACAGCTGCTGTGGAAAACAATTTTTGACAGTCCCCAAAATGTGAAACCTAGTTACTGTATAACCCAGCAATTCCACCCCATGGGATATACCCAAGAAAAATGAAAACATATGTCCACATAAGAACTTGTACAAGAGTGTTCATAGAAACGTGACTCATTATAGTCAAGACAATCTGAATGTCCATCAGCTGATAAACAGATACACAAAATATGACCAGTCAGTACAGCTGTAACTGTTCAGCCATAAAAAGGAATGAAGTATGGATACATGTTACAACATTGATGAACCTTGAAAACATTATGCTAAGTGAAAGAAGCCAGACAAAAAGTCTACATATTATATCATTCTGTCTAAATTAAATGTCAGGAATAGGTAAATTGATAGAAATGGAAGACAGATTAGTGGTTACCTACAGGCAACCAAAGGGGAATATGGGAGTAGCTGCTAGAGGTACAGGGCTTCATTCTGGGTGATGAAATTTTGCTGGAAGTAGATAGTGGACGGTTGTACAACTTTGTGAATATACTAGCAAACACTGAACTCTCACTTTTTTTTTAAATGTTTTATTTCTAGGAGAGAGAGAGAGAGACAGCGTGAGCAGGGGAGGGTCAGAGAGAGAGGGAGTCACAGACTGAAATAGGCTCCAGGCTCTGAGCTGGCAGTCAGCACAGAGCCCGACGCGGGGCTTGAACCCACGAACCGCGAGATCATGACCTAAGCGAAAGTCGGACGCTTAACCGACTAAGCCACCCAGGCGCCCCTGAACTCTCACTTTTAAAAGAGTGGTTTTTATGGTATGTGAATTATATTTTAGTTTTTTTAAAGTACAGGACTGACCCAAAAAAAAATATATCTGCTGAAAAAACAGAAAAATGACAAATCTGCACCTGTGTGCTTGTCAAAATCTTTAAGTGGAAAAAATAAATAAGAAGTGGCCCCAATATAAGTCCCAACCCAAAGGCACTTTCTATCTATCCAGCGTACCTGTCTGTGGAACCCAGCTTATATCCTGGGACGATCAGCCCCACAGATAAATATCACACCAGTCTACCACTTCTTTTTTTTTTTTTAATGTTTTATTTATTTCTAGGAGAGAGAGAGAGAGACCGCTTGAGCAGGAGAGGGTCAGAGAGAGAGGGAGTCACAGACTGAAACAGGCTCCAGGCTCCGAGCTGGCAGTCAGCACAGAGCCCGATGCGGGGCTCGAACCCACAGACCGCGAGATCATGACCTAAGCGAAAGTCGGACGCTTAACCGACTAAGCCACCCAGGTGCCCCCAGTCTACCACTTCTAAGCTGGCTAGGATATGCCCACAAGTAAATTAAGTGATATCAGCGCTTAATCCCATTTGGTTCTGGTTAGATGATTATTGGTGCAACTAAACTTAATACATGCCCACCCCCTGGGATATTTAGTTTCTTGTATATACCACCCTATTAATTTTGATGACTTCTGTCACCAGTATTTACTCACAGATCATAAAAACTTGAATTTGGATGAACTTGTCCCACTTCTCTTGTCAGCTACTTTTGGGTAGACATACCATTTTTTTAAGTCTTTATTTTCTGTCCCTAGCAGATAGTAGGTATCTGCTGAAGGGATGCATGTATCCATTCATGTAAACAATCAGCTAAGTGTCTACCTTGGGCCAAGCATTATTCTACATGCTTAGGACAAAAATCCCTTCCTTCATGAAACTTACACTCTAGTAAAGAGATATATGCAATAAACAAATAAGATAATAGAATGACAGATTACAGGTTAAAAATAGAGTAAGGAAAGAGAGTATAGGGGATGCTGGAAGTGGGGGAAGATACATAATAAAGGCCTTGCTGATAAAGGACATTTGAGCAAAAAAATAAGGATGTAAGGGTGTAAACCATAAATAATCTGGGGAAGAGCACTCCATGCAGAGGGCAGAGCAAGTGTAAATGCCTTTATACAAAGGCATGTTTGCAGTATTTGAGAAAAAGCAAATTAGCCATTCTGGCTAGAACAGAGTGATGTTTATACCAGCATTATCTACAGTAGCCAAATTATGGGGAGAGCCCAAATGTTCACCGACAGATGAATGGATAAAGAAGATGTAGCATATATACAATGGAATATTATTACTCAGCCATCCAAAAAAATGAAATCTTGCCATTTGTGATGATGTGTATTTCACTTATTAAGTGAAATAAGTCAATCAGAGAAAGACAGATACCATATGACATCACTCATGTGGAATTTAAGAAACAAATGAACATAGGGGAAGGGGGGAAAAAAAAGAGAGGGAAAGGCACCTGGATGCCTCAGGCAGTTGAGCGACTGACTTCAGCTCAGGTCATGATCTCGCAGTTCGTGGGTTCAAGCCCCACGTTGGGCTCTGTGCTGACAGCTGGGAGCCTGGAGCCTGCTTCAGATTCTGTGTCTCCCTCTCTCTCTGCTCCTCCCCTGCTCATGCTCTGTCTCTCAAAAATAAATAAACATTAAAAAAATTTTTAAGAACAAAAGAGAGGAAAGCAAACCATAAGAGACTCTTTACTAGAGAGAAGAAACTGAGGATTGAAGGAGGAGAAGTGGGTGGGGGATGGGCTAAATGCGTGACGGGTATTAAGGAGGGAACTTGTGATGACCGCTGGGTGTTATATATAAATGATGAATCACTAAATTCTACTCCTGAAACCAATATTACACTATATGTTAACTAACTAGAACTTAAATAAAAATTGGGGGGTTGGGGAATTAAAGGATGAGGGCATCCCAAAGGATTTTACCTATCCAGGTTACCAGACTTAAGGTAGGAAATAATATTTCCTTCATGCTGACATACTCTGATGATTTCTAGATGATAAGGAGTGAGAAAAGCCAAAGATGAGGGAGCTATGGTGACGTACAATTTCTGCACCCCAAAGGGGAGGGACATCTTGCCTTTCCCCAGTCATTCACTGAACATCTCCCAGGACTCTGTCATAGAACATTTCAGCTTCTGACCTCAAGGTGCTTCCACTCACTGAAAGCAAAACAGCCAGGGAGAGAAACGAAGGAATCTGCCTGTAAAAAAAAAATTGGCCTAATGGGGCAGTATCTGTAGCAGGAAGGTAGCTACATTTTTTTCCTGAAAAGTACAATTCCCATTAATCTGGTAAATGACAGAACTGAAGAGATACTCTCCTTCAGGCTCATATATCTTTAACTGTACAATATGAACTAGACTTTACCCTAAGATTTAGGTTTTTAGGGGTGCCTGGGTGACTCAGTTGGTTAAGTGTTCGACTCTTGATTTCAGCTCAGGTCATGATCTCACATTTCATGAGATCAAGCCCCATGTTGGGCTCTGCACTGGCAGCTTGGAGCCTGCTTGAGATTCCTCTCTCTCTTTCTCTTCCCCTCCCTACTCTCTCTCTTGCTCTCTCTCTCTCTCAAAGTAAATAAATGAAAATTAAAAAATAAATAAATTGGACCACATAAAAGTCTAAAACTACTGTGCATCAAAGAACACAATGAGGAGAGTGAAAAGGCAACCTACAGAATGGAAGACAATATTTGAAAATATTTTATGTAATAAGTGGTTAATATCCAGAATATATAAAGAACTACTACAACTCAACAACAGAAAAAAAAAAATTAAAAAGTAGGCAAGAGAATTGAATAGACAATTTTCCACAGAGGATATACAAATAACAATCAAGCATATGAAAAGATGCTCAACATTACTAATCATTAGGGAAATATAAATTGAAACCACAATAAGATATGTGACCTCATACCCATCAGGGTGCCTATTATAAAAAAAAAAAAGAAAAGAAAAGAATGTGGATAAATTGGAACTCTTGTGCACTTTTGGTGGGAATGTAAAAAAAAAATGGCCACTATGGAAAACAATTTTTCTTTTAAAAATTAAAAATAGAATTATCTTGTGATTCAACAACTCCACTTCTGGATATAAAGTCAAAAGATTGAAAGCAAGTTCTCAAAGAACTATTTGTACACCAGTGTGTCATAGCAACATTATTCACAGTAACCAAAAGGTGGAAGAAACCCAAGTGTCCAATGACAGATAATGGATAAATAAAATGCGGTACATATAGTGGATTATTATTCAGGATTAAAAAAGAAGAAAATTCAGGGGCACCTGGGTGATTCAATCAGTTGAGCGTCCAACTCTTGGTTTCAGCTCAGGTCATGATCTCACAGTTCACAGTTTCGAGCCCCACATCGGGCTCTGTGCTGACAGCTCAGAGCCTGGTTGGGATTCTCTCTCTCTCCCTCTCTCTGCCCCTCCTGACTTGTTTTCTCTCTGTCTCTCTCAAAACAAATAAACTTAAAAAAGAATAAGGGGCCGCCTGGGTGGCTCAGTCGGTTAAGCGTCCGACTTCGGCTCAGGTCATGATCTCACGGTTCGTGGGTTCGAGCCCCACGTTGGGCTCTGTGCTGATAGCTAGCTCAGAGCCTGGAGCCTGTTTCAGATTCTGTGTCTCCCTCTCTCTCTGACCCTCCCCTGTTCATGCTGTCTCAATCTCTCTTTCTCCCTCAGAAATAAATAAAACATAAAAAAATTTTAAATAATATTTAAAATAATAATATATTTCTCAACAATCCCATCCAATAACAATGCCATTATTCCCATTTTTTAAAGTTGTTTTTTTATTTTTGGGAGAAAGCACACGCACAGACAAGAGAGGGGCAGAGAGAAAAGGAGAGAGAGAATCCCAAGCAGCATCCACACTGTTAGCACAGAGCCTGTCACAGGGCTCTATCTCCCAAATAATGGGATCATGACCTGAGCTGAGATCAAGAGTCAGACATTCAACAAACTGAGCCACCCCAGCGCCCCCATTATTCCCATTTTAACGTTGATAGGCCCATAACATGGTAGGCCCTTATTAAATATTTGTTTAATTCATTTGTAAATTAAACCACCTCTTTCTTTCCCTTTGTATCCCAGACCAGAATGGGATGCAATGTACCCAAGTTCCGAAAGACTAGGGAAATGTCAAATTATGCTCATAATAAACAAACTCTGGGAGCAGGAATAGGAAGCCTCTAGAACTACAGCTCCTGAATGAGGCCTGAAACGATTTGGGGGTTTGAGCTAAACCTTGGGTGCCAAAGGTATCTGTGGTTAGCCATGATGAAGACTAAAGATATGCCTAATTTGTGTTAGATGATTTACAGTGCCATGAGGCAGGTCAGATCTTGAATATTAAAGTTTCTAAAACAATCATGATCCTTTTTTAATTGCTCTTTTTAAATCACTCTTTCCAATAATACCACATTCTATACACCTATGAGAGTTTAGGGTATTTTTTTGGCCTTTCTAGGCTGAAACAATTAATGAAATGGTTCTTAATCACCACTCAATCAAGGCAGTTCAGTAAAATTTTTCATTCAAACAACTTGCAACTCACTAATGTTTAACATGGAAATACATTAATAGCAAATTAAAAGCGAAACGAAACAAAAAAAACCTTCCCCTTCTCCGAAATCCTGACAGTGTCAAAATGTTCCCATTCTGTAATTCACATCCACAATACGCCAAGGATACTAAATGAACCACATTGAAAACCCCTTGCTTTAAAGTCGGAAGGATCTTGGAGGTCCTTGTCACCTGGGCTTGAGGCTGAGAAGTGAATGAGGTCACAGTTGTATGACGGAACAAACCCTTTATTGGATTCTTGATCTGACTGAGGCCCAGAAGTGGTAGGTAGCACAGCTTAATAGTAGGTAAATATCTGGATTGTGTAGGAATTTTATGCTGTGTCCTTTTTTTTTTCAATCTATCATCTCTAAGAGAGATTGAAGGTAGTTTTTTAAAGTAATGATTATTTTGCACCATGAGGATGATTTCACAGCACCTTTCAAGTGCCTAAATCGTTGATCCTCTCCGGAGTTCCCAGTTCTGTGGTAGGTTTCCAGACTGTGAACACATGTAATTGAATTGTTTAGAAACAACTGGCTTTCCAGGTTCTGAGGTGAAGAGCTGGGAAGATGGATCAAACTATAACTAAACATACAAAGGCTTTTTCTTTGTGGGTTCATAGTATTTGATTGTCTATTATTTCTAAATCAGCAACCCAGTGTTCTTGTCAGTGAACCACCTAATACACTTTGAAAAACTAATTTGAGAGGGGAAAGCAGCACTAAAAGGGGAAAGCCCTACCAACCAGCTTCGGGTCCAGAGGCCCTGATGTCCAAACTCTGCAGAAGTGGAAAGCCAGGACTAGGGAGGCTCTAATGGTTAAAAGTCCACTCAGGAGAGTCTAGGGTGGAGAAACAGCACTGTATCCTACCTCCACTCCTACTTTTAAGGAAGACCAGTGGATTCGTAAGAACTGACGAGGCAGGGAGGGACCTCCCAGAAGGAAATCCTGGGAAAATCTACTTACTACCACTAAAGTATCCAAGATATAAACAAGTAGGTAAATATTTCAGAAATGCTGTAGCATTTTATCCTCTGTCAGTTATGACGTGAATATTCTACTGATTTCAAAAATAAATTTGTCTCGGGGCGCCTGGGTGGCTCAGCTGGTTAAGCGTCCGACTTCGGCTCAGGTCATGATCTCATGATTGGTAGGTTCGAGCCCCGCGACAGACAGGCTCTGTACTGACAGCTAGCTCAGAGCCTGGAGCCTGTTTCAGATTCTGTGTCTCCCTCTCTCTCTGACCCTCCCCTGTTCATGCTCTCTCTCTCTCTCTCTCTCTCAGAAATAAATAAAATATTTTTAAAAATTAAAATAGTTTTTAAAAAATAAATAAATAAATTTGTCTTTAAATAACTCTTTCCACATCTTTCTAGGATGTTTTATCTATGTCACATGGTACCACTTATTTTTACTCCTCGAAGGGGGATGGACAATGATAAGAAACTTTGCTTAGAGATATCTGGACAGTGAAGGGGCTCTTCTACATGGCCTTCCAACTTTGCACACACATCTAACTTGAATTTGCACATATTAAGATTCCTCAAGGCCCTGGACTTCAAACTCTAGGTTTTAAGCTAGGGAAGTTGCAAAAGAAACTAGAGGAATTAACCTGTGATTTGATCCTGTTCATATCTTCTGAATTCCAGACAGAGTTATTGGCCCTATGGCAGTTCCTGATATTAAATCAACTGGGCTGAATCCTCTGAAAAAGGTACCCAGCTCCCATGGCAAGAGGTAAGTAATGAATGTATTCAGGTGATAAATAGATTAAGATCAAGGATTGTTAAGGTGCCTTGCCATTTGCAACAATGTGGATGGAACTAGAGTGTATTATGTTAAGTAAAATAAGTCAGAGAAAGACATATATATATGATTTCACTCATATGTGGAATTTAAGAAACAAAGCAGATGAACATAGATAGGGGAAGGGAGGGGAAAAGAAGATAAAAACAGAGAGGGGGCACCTAGGTGATCCAGTCGTTTAAGCATCTGATTCTTGATTTCGGCTCAGGTCATGATCTTACAATTTGTGAGTTTGAGCCCAACAGTTGGCTCTGTACTGACAGCATGGAGCCTGCTTGGAATTCTCTCTCTCCCCCTCTCTTGCCCCTCCCCTACTTGCTCTCTTTCTATCTCAAAATAAATAAATAAACATTAAAAATTTTTGAAAAAACAGAGAAGGAGGCAAACCATAAGAGACACTCAAATACAGAGAACAAACTGAGGGTTGCTGGAGATGAGGTAGGCGGCGGGGAGCTAAATGGCTGATGGGTATTAAGCAGGGCACTTACTGGGATGAGCACTGGGTGTTATATGTAAGTGATGAATCACTGGGTTCTACTCCTGAAACCAATACTATACTGTATGTTAAATAACTTGAGTTTAAATAAATTTAAAAATAAAATATATGGAAAAAAAGAATTATTAAGCTGATAAATATATTAATACTCATAAAGGCTATGAGGAAACAAATGAGAATGTTCTTCAAGTGCCCTGTGATAAATTTAGTTATAAAACAAAGCATATGAATTGAAGATAGAGATTTTTTATGAAAAGAAAAAATATATATCCTTTTGATCGGAGAAACAGAAAGTTGTTCTTTCTGTTCCTCCATATGAGAGACAATTTTTGTGTAAGGAGACAGAATATCCTAGAGTGTTTAAGAAGTTGTCAGTAGAACAGTAAAATATTTTGAGTGCAGTTGAAAGAAAAATAACATTAGAAGATCACAAAGAAGACCTAATTCCCTAAGCAAGTCAGTATAGAGAAGGTCTGTAGCTTAAATATGATGGGTAAAATGAAATCTAGTAAATTGGCCATGACTCACCTTGAGCTAAAATTGGGAAGGGAGATTTGCCTGTGATATTAACAAGAGCTTTTTTCTGTTTGATAACTACAACTTCCAATAAACAGTAGCCATGAATGACTAAAAGTAAGAGCCTAATCTATATTTTACTAGAGCACAAGAAGAAAAGCCTTTTCTCCCTCACAACCATCCATTTCCTGTGCCACTTGGAGAGTATTTCTCCTAGCATCCGCTGCTGCAGGAAGAGATTCCTGACATTTTTCAAGGGACCTTTTTTTTTTTTACCTTCCAGCTGCCAAATCCCTTGATCTCATTGTTCCCTCACCCTGCATTACAAGCTGTCTCTTGAACTAGTGACGTTCTTGTCACTGAAAGGAGTCACACAAAGGCTAGACAATACCACACGTAGAGGGAATTCCTACATGAGATGAGAGGCTAGCCCAGGCACTTACCAAATCTAAGGTTCTTCAAAGCTTTGAAACATTATAAAATAAAAAGACTATTTCCCATGTGGTCTGAAATTCTGCTGAGAGGATCCTTTTTTTAACGTCACTAATAAAGACATCATGTTACCTGGCTTTTTACTTTTCTCTTGCTTCTTGAGAATTTCATATTTCTCCATCTACTGCATCATTTATGTCATGCAAAAGTAATTTGTTTATATTTAGAAATACAACAAATATAAAATAACCTATCTGAGTAAAGGCAAACTGGAGTTTCTAGAGATTCAAAGAAGTGAAAGAACAGAACTACCAGAAGAAGAAATCAGTGTTGGTAAAAGCAAAGAAAATAAACTAATAGGTAAAATTCCATGTTGTAAAAGTTGGGAATGGGTGTGTTTTGAGACCTTATTACCTCCTTTATTCCTAGGTCCCTTTTTGAACATGAGTTGAACATACTAGATACTGTCGAGGAGACTAAATCCATTAATGATAACTTTTAAAATTACCATGTGTAGTATTCCAGTTTCATTTTAATCGCCTCTTGTAAAAATATAAAAACTAGGAGATTCCATTAAAACTTTTAGGGGAGCCTAGGTGGCTCAGTTGGTTAAGCATCCGACTTCAGCTCAGGTCATGATCTCATGGTTTGTGAGTTCAAACCCTGTGTAAGGCTCTGTGCTGACAGCTCAGAGCCAAGAGTCGGCTTCAGATTCTGTGTCTCCCTCTCTCTCTGCCCCTCCCCTGCTCGCACTCTGTCTCCTCTCTCTCAGGAAAGGAACAAACGTTAAAATGTTTTCATTAAAAAATAATAAAAAATAAAACATTTAGTTTAGTATCAAAGCTAAATGTATTTTAAAATTAACATATAAAATTATTATTACTTAAATCTACTTTAAATTACTATCTTGTAAGCAAAACCACTTATTCATAATATACTTTTATGTTCCTAAACTAATAACCTCCTGCAGATCTATACAAAATGTCCCCAAAGTATTCATATGTTTTTCTCTTTTTCCAGATTTTATTTATCTGAGAAAATGAAAAGTCACCCAGGGTTCCAAACTTTCCAGAAGTGCTCTCTCTCAGTAGATAGATAAATACATAGATATGGTTGATATACATATAGACTATATATAGATATAGGTATAGATGTAGATGTAGATAGATCTACCCCTCTCATGTGCTGGTAAAAATACAACTTGGCAATTAAAGTCATAAAATAATTATAGATACTAAGTTTTCAGTATAAGGTTATTCACGATAAAATTATGTATACGAGTTAAGGTGCACCTGGGTGGTTCATTCGGTAAAGTGTCCAACTTCCAATTCTGTGTCCCTCCCTTGCTCTGCCGCTCCCCCGCTCATGTTCTCTCTCTCTCTCTCTCTCTCTCTCTCTCTCTCAAGAATAAATAAAACATTTAAAAATATTTTTTTAATTTTAAAGATTATTTATACCAGTTAAAAAATGTTTCAATGTTTATTTCTTTTGAGAGAGCGAGAGTGTGTGCACAATGAGCAGGGGAGGAGCAGAGAGAGAGCAAATTCCAAGCAGGCTCCACACTGTCAGCACAGAGCCCCATGTGGGGCTCAAACTAACAAACCATGAGATATGCCCTGAGCCTTCAAATCCAGAGTCAGATGCTTAATGAACTGAGCCACTCGGGCACCCCTATACCTGTTAAAAATTTGAAACAACTTACATTTTACCAATAGGAATAATGTAGAGCTTATATCTTTGAGCTTTGGAGTCAGATAAACCTGAGTCTGAATCCCAGGACTTCTACCTATTATCTGTGTACTTTGGGACAAGTTATTTAATCCTGCTGAGCCTCAGTTTTCTCTTTTGTAAAATGGGGAAAATCAAGAGTTGTTTTTAAGGATGTAAGGGCGATGGGCATGTGTAGGGCAGAGCAAGACCTCATGGCCAGCATTTTATCACTCCATATCCTGTAGTAAGTGACAGTAACAGGTTCCTTAGGTGGTAAGACTCTGGATATACTGTGACCCATAGTCATTCCAGTCAGCAAAAAACTGATGAATGGAACTAACATTTGCTGGTTTCACATATGTATTAAATCTCCTCATGTCTTTCCAGGGATAAAGATTTACCAGGACCTCTCCCACGCCAATTACAGCACAAAGAAAGGAAGCTGACTGCTTCACAAATACAAGGTAATGAGAATCATTCCCAAATGAAAGCCCCTTGGCATATCTGATCATCTTCTTCTCTGAGATCTACAATTTTAAGGGTTGACTGTTGTCCTCTGCTGTTTGAGACCAGAAGTTCTAATCCAGTGTCTAATTTGTGGGAAGAAAAGATGATTACTTTCAATCAGACATCTTCCTAGAGCTTGGACCATCCTGGACAAATATTTTTATTCAAATAATGTGTGGGTATGCAAAAGAACAAACGCAAAGTCAAATAAAAATGAAGTAATGGGGCAATATATATACAACTGAAGCCCCAGGATTTCTCACAGGAAAAAAAAAATCATAATGATAAAATCAGCTAAACTTCCTTCAGTTTATCAGCCCAAATAGCAACTATTTATTTAAAGGCCACAATGTACTAAGCCTGGGAAATATAACAAGTAACAAGTCAGACATGGTCATTGCCCTGATAAGAAGTCTTTCAGGAAAGTCAGACCATTAAACCGTGAATTTTTGATTAAAATGATTTAAATCACAATATGACACAAGTTATGGTAGGGGAAGTGCAAAGTATTATGGAAGCATAAAAGACAGTCTCCTGACTTGGTCTTGGGAGGACAGAAGAAGGTTGTCAGAGAAGGTTGGATAATGAGCATGAGTCAGACAGCACAAGGGAAGCACTCTGGGCAGAAAGACTGGAATCCGCAAAGGCATGACTCACTAGAAAAAAAGAAAAGAAAACAAAAGAGAAAGGCAAGCATGACTCTGTTTGGGTTCTGGGAAGGTTAACGCTTCACCCTCCAAGTTTGGGACCAGTTGAAAAAACAGGAACCAAAGAATCGCCTTTATTGCTGGAAAAGCTGGTTTGAAAAACAAAAGATGGAATTGCATTTTTCATTATAAAACTGAGCTAAATGCCTTAATAATAACAGTTTATTGGGGGCTCCTGGTGGCTCAGTCAGTTAAGTGTCTGACTTCAACTCAGGTCATGATCCCAAGGCTCGTGAGTTTGAGCCCTGTGTCAGGCTCTGTGCTGACAGCTCAGAGTCTGGAGCCTGCTTCAGATTCTGTGTCTGTCTCTCTCTGCCTCTTCCCTGCTCATGCGCTCGCTCGCTCTCTCTCTCTCTCTCTCTCTCTGTCTCTCAAAAATAAATAAATGTTGGGTTGCCTGGGTGGCTCAGGTCATGATCTCATAGTTCGTGGGTTCGAGCCCCGCATCGGGCTCTGTGCTGACAGCTAGCTCAGAGCCTGGAGCCTGTTTCAGATTCTGTATCTCCCTCTCTCTCTCTGACCCTTCCCTGCTCATGCTGTGTGTGTGTCTGTCTCTTTCTCTCTCAGAAATAAATAAAACATTAAAAAAATTTTAAATAAATGAACGTGAAAAAAAAGAAGGCATGCTTATTTGTTGAAAGGCTGCATGAATCAGGGTAATACCTACTAAACGCTAGAAATATTAGAAGAAATTAGAAATTTCATATCACATAACACTTGACTGTGATATGAAATAAGTTTTATTCTAGTGCCATTTGGGATATACTTTGTTCTGGGTTTATTTCTTCATTCACTGATTTTAGAAAATACATGTTTACTTTTGGTTCCAGGTAATGCCTTGAGTATGTCTTTGGAAAAAACCTTAACTCTATTCAAAACATTCACATGCATATAATTGGGGCACATTTGGGTGCAGTAGTTTTCTGTTGCTGCCATAACAAATTGCCACAAACTCAGCAGCTTAAAACAACCCAGATGTATCATCTCACAGCTCTGTGGGTCAGAAGTCCAGATGGGCTCAGTTAGTTCCTCTTCTCTGGGCCTTTCAAGGCCAAAATGAAGGAGATGGCCAGCCCAGCTTCTTACCAAGAGGCTCTAAAGGAAAATCTACTTCCAAGCGTATTAGGCTCTTGGTGGAATCTACTTCCTTGCAGTTCTCCGGGCTGACTTCTAGGAGTCTCTCTCAGCCCCATATGACCATCTGCATTCCACATCACATCGCCCCATCCATCTTCAAACTAAGTCCTCGTTTTTTGAATCTCTCTGATCTCTCCTTTTGCCACATCTTTCGTGCTTCTGGCTGCCTAGGGGACCCTGTAATTATATTGGACACACTCAGATAATCAACGATAATTTATCTTAATTATAACTGCAAAGTCCTTTTTATTGTGTAAGTAATACATTCAGAGATTCCAGGAATTAGGGCATGGACATCTTTCAAAGGCCACTTTGCCTACATATTTGGTTTTCTACCAAGTACTTGATTCCAGTTTAAATCTCATCAAAGGACGCTGTCCTTTATATGAAATGTCTATTAGGTACTCATTTTTCTCTCAAGAATTTTTTAGAACATGATCTCCAATCAACTATATAGTCTGTCCTAGTTCACTAGAATATGTACTCATTCTTTTTTAATATATTTTTTAATGTTTATTTTTTTATAGTTTATTGTCAAGTTGGTTTCCATAGAACACCTAGTGCTCATCCCCACAAGTGCCCTCCTCCATGCCCATCAGCCATTTCCCCCCTCCCCCACCCTGATCAACCATCAGTTTGTTCTCAGTATTTAAGAGTCTCTTATGACTTGCCTCCCTCCCTCTCTGTAACTATTTTTTTCTCCTTCCCCACCCCCATGGTCCTCGTTAAGTTTCTCCTGTTCCACATATAAGTGAAAACACATGGTATCTATCCTTCTCTGCCTGACTTATTTCACTTAGCATAACACCCTCAAGGTCCATCCATGTTGCTACACATAAACAGATTTCATTCTTTCTCATTGCCATGTAGTATTCCATTGTATATATAAACCACATCTTCTTGATCCATTTGTCAGTTAATGGACATTTAGGCTGTTCCCGTGATTTAGCTATTGTTGAGAGTGCTGCTATGAACATTGGGGTACACATGCCCCTATGCATCAGCACACCTGTATCCCTTGGGTAAATTCCTAGCAGTGTTATGCTGGGCCATAGGGGAGTTCTATTGTTAATTTTTTGAGGAACCTCCACACTGTTTTCCAGAGGGGCTGCACCAGTTTACATTCCCACCAACAGTGTAGGAGGGTGCCCATTTTCTCCACATCCTCTCCAGCATTTAGAGTCTCCTGATTTGTTCATTTTAGCCACTCTGACTGGCGTGAGATGGTATCTCCGTGTTGTTTTGATTTGTATTTCCCTGATGAGGAGGGACGATGAGTACCGTTTCATGTGTCTGTTGGCCATCTGGATGTCCTCTTTGGAGAAGTGTCTGTTCATGTCTTTTGTGCATTTCTTCACTGGATTGTTTGTTTTTTGGATGTGGAGTTTGGTGAGTTCCTTATAGATTTTGGATACTAGCTCTTTATCCAGTATGTCATTTGCAACCATTCCTTCAGTTGCCTATTAGTTTAACTGATTGTTTACTTTGCTGTACAGAAACTTTTTATCTTGATAAGGTCCCAATAGTTCATTTTTGCTCTTGATTGCCTTGCCTTTCAAGATGTGTCAAGTAAGAAATTGCTGCGGCTGAGGTCAATAAGGTTGTTTCCTGCTTTCTCTTCTAGGGTTTTGATGGTTTCCTGTCTCACATTCAGGTCCTTTATCCAATTTGAATTCATTTTGGTGTATGGTGTGAGAAAATGATCTAGTTTCATTCTTCTGCATGTTGCTGTCCATTTCTCCCAACACCATCTGTTAAAGAGGCTGCCTTTTGAGAAGGACAAATATCATATGTTTGCACATATAGGAGGATTAGGAGGAACTTAACTGAGGAACAAGGGGGAGAAGAAGGGGGGAAATGGTGGGGTATAGGTAGAGAGGCAAACCATGAGAGACTCTTGAATGCTGACAAAAACTGAGGACTGATGGATGTGGGGGGGGGGAGGGGGGATGGGCATGGAGGAGGGCACTTGTGGGGATGAGCACTGGGTGTTATGTGGAAACCAATTTGACAATAAACTATTTGTAAAAAAAAAAAAAAAGAGAATGCCCTTTTTCCATTGGATACTCTTTCCCGTGTTGTCAAAGATTAATGGGCCATACATCTGTGGGTCCAATTCTGGGTTCTCTATTCTTCTCTATTCTATTCCATTGGTCTATGTGTCTGTTTTTTTGCCAATACCATACTGTCTTGATGATGACAGCTTTGTAGTAGAGGCTAAAGTCTGAGATGGTGATGCCTCCCGTTTTGGTTTTATTCTTTAGTTTATTACTTTGGCTATTTGGGGTCTTTTGTGGTTCCATACAAATTTTAGGATTGTTTGTTCTAGCTTTGAGAAGAATGCTGGTGCAATTTTGATGGGAATTGCATTGAATGTGTAGATTGCTTTGGGTAGTAATGACATTTTAACAAGATTTATTCTTCCGATCCATGAGCATGGAATGTTTTTCCATTTCTTTGTGTCTTCTTCAATGTCCTTCAAAAGTTGTGTATAGTTTTCATCATACAGATCTTTTATATCTTTGGTTCGGTCTATTCCTAGGTATTTTATGGTTTTTTGTGCAATTGTGAATGGGATCAGTTTCTTGTTTTTTCTTTCTGTTACTTCATTATTGGTGTGTAAAAATGCAACCAATTTCTGTACGTTGGTTTTGTATCCCGTGACTTTGCTCAATTCTTGGACAGTTCTAGTAGACTTCTGGTGGAGTCTGTCAGGTTTTCTATGTAGAGTATCATGTCATCTGCAAAAAGTGAAAGTTTGACTTTATCTTTGCCAGTTATAATACCTTTTATTTCCTTTTATTGTCCGATTGCTGATGCTAGAACTTCCAGCACTATGTTAAACGACAGTGGTGAGAGTGGACATCTCTGTCGTGTTCCTGATCTCAAAGGGAAAGCTCTCAATTTTTCCCCATTGAGGTTGATATTAGCTGTGGGCTTTTCATAAATGGCTTTTATTAATGTTTACGTAAGTTCCTTCTATCCCGACTTTCTGGAGGGTCTTTATTAAGAAGCGATGTTGTATCTTGTCAAATGCTTTTTCTGCATCTATCAACAGGATCATATGGTTTTTATCTTTTCTTTTGTTAACGTGATATATCACATTGATTGATTTGTGAATATTGAACCAGCCTTGTAACCCAGGAATGAATTCCACTTGATCTTGGTGGATAATTCTTTTTATATGCTATTGAATTCGATTTGCTAGTATCTTGTTGAGAATTTTTGCATCTGTGTTCATCAAGGATATTGGCCTGTAGTTCTCTTTTTTTGCTGGGTCTCTGTCTGGTTTGGGAATCAAAGTGATGCTTTGCAGAATGAGTCCAGAAGTTTTCCTTCCATTTCTATTTTTTGGAATAGCTTGAGAAGAATGTGTATTAACTCTGATTTAAATGTCTGTTAGAATTCCTCAGGGAAGCTATCTGGCCCAGGGCTTTTATTTATTGGACGATTTTTGATAACTGATTCAATTTCTTCACTAGTTGTGGATCTGTTCAGATTTTCTATCTCTTCCCGTTTGAATTTTGGAAGTGTGTGCGCATTTAGGAATTTGTCCATTTCTTCCAGGTTGTCTAGTTTGTTGGCATATAATTTTTCATAGTATTCCCTGATAATTGCTTGTATTTCTGAGGGATTGGTTGTAATAACTCCATTTTCATTCGTGGTGATGTCTATTTGGGTGCTCTCTCTTTTCTTTTTGAGAAGCCTGGCTAGAGGTTTATCAATTTTGTTTATTTTTCAAAAAAACCAACTCTTGGTATCATTGATCTGTTCAACTTTTTTTTTTTTTTTTGGATTCTGTATTGTTTATTTCTGCCCCAATCTTTATTATTTCTCTTCTTTTGCTGGATTTGAGGTGTTCTTGCTGCTCTGCTACTAGCTTTCTTTAGGTGCACTGTTAGATTTTGTATTTGTGCTTTTTCTAGATTCTTGAAATAGGCCTGGATTGCAACGTATTTTCCTCTTAGGACTGCCTTTGCTGCATTCCAAAGAGTTTGGATTGTTGTATTTTCATTTTCATTTGTTTTCATATATTTTTTAATTTCTTCTCCAATTGCCTGGTTGGCCCATTCAGTCTTTAGTAGGGTGTTCTTTAACCTCCATGTTTTTGGAGGTTTTCCAGACTTCTTCCTTTGATTGATTTCAAGTTTCATAGCATTGTGATCTGAAAGTGTACATGGTATGATCTCAATTCTTTTATATTTATTGAGGGCTGCTTCATGAGCCAGTACATGATCTGTCTTGGAGAATGTACCATGTGCACTTGAGAAGAAAGTGAATTCCAAAGCTTCAGGATGTAGAGTTCTAAACATATCTGTCAAGTTCATCTGGTCCAATGTGTTGTTCAGGTGCTTTGTTTCTTTAGTGATTTTCTGTCTAGTTAATCTATCCCTTGCTGTAAGTGGAGTATTAAAGTCCCCTGCAATTAGCACATTCTTATCAATAAGATTGCTTATGTTTTTGATTAATTGTTTTATGTATTTGGGTGCTCCTGAATTTGGTGCACTTATAATTGTTAACGCCTCCTGATGGATAGATCCAGTAAGTATTATATAATGCCCTTCTTCATCTCTTGTTACTGCCTTAACTTTAAAGTCCAGTTTGTCTGATATAAGTATGGCTACTCCAGCTTTTTTTTGACTTCCAGTAGCACGATAGATATTTCTCCATCCCATCACTTTCAATCTGAAGGTGTCCTCAGGTCTCAAATGAGTCTCTTGTAGACAGCAAATAGATGGATCTTGTTTTTCATCCATTCGGATACCCTATGTCTTTCGACTGGAGCATTTGGTCCATTTACATTCAGTGTTATAACTGGAAAATATGGGTTTAGAGTCATTGTGTTCTTTGTAGGATTCATGCTTGTAGTGCTGTCTCTGGTACCTTGTGTTCCTTGCAACATTTCCCTCAGAGTCCCCCTTAGGACTTCTTGTAGGGCTGGTTTAGTGGTGATGAATTCTTTCAATTTTTGTTTATTTGGGAAGACTTTTATCTCTCCTTCTATTCTGAATGACAGGCTTGCTGGATAGAAGATTCTTGGCTGCATATTTTTCCTGCTCATCACATCCAAGATGTGCTGTCATTCCTTTCCGGCCTGTGAAGTTTCAGTAGATAGGTCTGTTACTACCCTGATCTGTCTCCCTTTGTATGTTAGGGCCCTTTTATCCCTAGCTGCTTTCATAATTCTCTATTTATCCTTATATTTTGCCAGTTTCACTATGATATGTCGTGCCGAAGATCAATTCAAGTTATGTCTGAGGAAGTTCTCTGTGCCTCTTGGATTTCAATGTCTGCTTCCTTCCCCAGATTGGGGAAGTTCTCTGCTATAATTTGTTCCAGTACGTTCAAGTACCCCTTCAGCCCCTTTCTCTTTCCTCTTCTTCTCTGAATTCCTATGATACGGATATTGTTTCATTTGATTGCACCACTCAGTTCTTGAATTCTCCTTTGGTGCTCCTGGATCAATTTATCTTTCTTTTTCTCGGCTTCCTCTTTTTCTATAATTGTATCTTCTAATTCACCTATTCTCCTCTCTTTCTCTTCAACCCATGTACTGGCCACCTCCATTTTGTTATGCACCTCATTTATAGCATTTTTTAATTCATCATAAATATTTTTAAGATCCATAATCTTTGTAGCAATAGCATCTCTGCTGTCTTCTATGCCTTTTTCAATCCCAGTGATTAATTTTATGACTATTGTTCTAAATCCTGGTCACTTATGTTGCTTATATCTGTTTTGACCAATTCTTTAGCTGTCACCTCTTCCTGGAATCTCTTTAGAGGAGAGTTCTTCCGTTTTATTATTTTGGCTAGCTTTCTGTCTCTTGTCAGTTTTAAAAGCTTTTTATATGCTCTGCACCTGCAAGTACTGCTGTATTAAAGGAGGCTCATAGACTGACCAGGGCCTGTCCGTTCTAGAAGTGTTCTTTTAATGGTGGCCCTTGGTCTCTCTTGTGACTGTGGCTATTTTATTTCCCTACTCATAGTGATATTTGGGACTCTCCACCATGTGTACTTTGGTTTGTTTCTTGAGGTAGCCCTATGAGGCTGTCTTCTTAGTGGACTCCAACTCTTTTCCTCCCAGACTCTTGTGGTTCAGAGTCCTTTGGCTTCAGCCCTTCTTTGTTTGAGAGATGCAGGCAGAAGTACAGAACTCCCTCTTTCCACCATCTTGCCAGCCATGTCTAATGCTTATTTTTGAGACAGAGCATGAGTGGGCTAGGGGCAGAGAGAGAGGGAGATAGAATCTGAAGCAGGCTGTGCTGATGGTTCAGAACCTGACACAGGGATTGAACTCGTGAACCATGAGATCATGACCAGAGTCGAAGTCGGATGCTCAACTGACTGAGCCACCCAGGCATCCCTGTACTCATTCTTGAATAACTAACTGCCTGACTAACTTAATTGCATTTCCTCAGCCTTCCAAGATGCATACAACTTCTTTAACAAGGATAAAACTGGCTCTATTGATTTACATGGAATGATGTGCACTATAGCCAAGTTGGGAATGACTCTAACCAAGCATGATGTCTATAATGAATTAAGATGTGCTGATGTTGATCGTGAGTACTTTGACTTGTAATTAATTTTCTCATAAAAGGTTCTTATAAATATATTTTTTTCTTTTAGTGATTATATAAACATGAGAAATTAAATTCATTTATTGTCAAAAGTACATATATGTGTTTCTGTTTTTTTAATGTTTTAATGTTTTTTATTTATTTCTGAGAGAGAGAGACAGCATGAGCAGGGGAGAGTCAGAGAGGGAGACACAAAATCTGAAACAGGCTCCAGGCTCTGAGCTAGCTGTTAGCACAGAGCCCAACATGGGGCTCGAACCCATAAACCATGAGATCATGACCTGAGCCAAAGTCAGATGCTCAACCGACTGAGCCACCCAGGCACCCCTATATGTGTTTCTCTTTAAATTTTTTTTAATGTTTTATTTATTTCTGAGAGAGAGAGACAGCGTGAGAAGGGGAGGGTCAGAGAGAGAGGGAGACACAGAATCTGAAACAGGCTTCCAGGCTCTGAGCTAGTTGTTAGCACAGAGCCCGACGTGGGGCTTGAACCCACAAACCGTGAGATCATGACCTGAGTCGAAGTGGGACACTTAACCGACTGAGCCACCCAGGTGCCCCTACGTGTTTCTCTTTAAGAATATCGGTAAAGTCTGTGTACAAGTTACAAAATCAAAGTGTACAAAATGGACGATTCTTTGAAAAATTCTGTGTGGAAACTAAAAGTGATGGTCACATTTCAACATCATATTCAGATTATCTGCCATGACATACATTTTGGAGGGTGTCTTAAAATAACAAAGTCATTGACAATTTCAAAAATGACATGCTACCAAGAAAATCCAAGCCGTTTGTTTCCATTTGAATCATATTAGTACAAATCTTCCTTCCATCATTAGAGCCCACCTATATTTTTTTAATTTATTTAAATTTCAAGTTAGTTAACATACAATATAGTATTGGTTTCAGGAGTAGAACCCAGTGATTCATCACTTAAATATAATACCCAGTGCTCAACCCAACAAGTGCCCTCTTTAATGCCCATCACCCACTGAGCCAACCTATATTGAATTTTAAATGCCACAGCATTTTTGTTGATATTTTTAAAACTGTCAGGTAACATTTCCTTTGAATACACTGACCTAGTGATTATAGCCCAAGCTGACATGTTGTCTAGAGGATAAACTCAGCACCCCATCTCTTCTCACCTCTCCCCACCCAACTGCCAGCGCCCCATTCAATTAGCATAAGGCCCACATGGGAATCACTGTCACTGGCCAATTAATGCATTACTTATTTCCACTAAGTCTCCCCAGTTTGTCTATTCTTTCAGCAACACACACACACCTCTAACAGCACTATTCTTTAACATTAGAGGACACTGGGTACAATTTGGGGATGTTTTAAGAATTAAAGTAGCAGAGGTGGGTATGGAGTGGGTATCCAGGGGTGGAGTCCATGCACAATGACAAGTCTGTAGGAAGGGAGTGGGAGGATAAGACTGCGGAGGCTGGGAGCCCCTGGTTGAAGTTTATGCCCCACCATGGCTTCTGCGGCTGTGGGTGGGCCGTGTAATGGTGCTAAAACCACTTCAAAAAAACTAGTGCTCACCTGAGCACATCTCCAGCCTTAATATGCTGTCTGATTTTAGGTATTGAATAGTCCAAGGTGTTTTCATGTTACATTTAACACATAATCTAATTACTAAAATGCATCTTATACCCTTGTTCTGAGCCTTTAAATATCTATTTCAGAGGATGGGAAGGTGAATTTCTCAGACTTTATGAAGGTGCTGACAGATAAGAACCTCTTCCTTAAAGCCGTGGGTGAGTAGAGCTACTACTGAACAGGTGACGGCTGGGTAGCTGTGAGTCACTGCACAGTAACTCTTATTCATTTAGGTCTCTGATCAGGAGACATGTGAGGAAGGTGTCCTCTGGGGTGAGATTTACTATCATACTGCTTCTCCAAAACAATATTTGCTAAGCAAATTTATACAGTTTTAGAATTTTAACTTAAATGCATCAAGTCCTTCCGCAGGAGACACTGCTTTTTTGTCTCCATGTGAACACTTGGAGTAGTGTAGAAAAATTCGGTCACCTTTTATATTCTTTACCAAGTGCCTGTGCCACTTCGAGAGGAACTCTCTTTACAAATGAAAAATTTGTTTAGAAAAAGAAAAATGCTCTCTCTCATGCAAATTTGGGGTAAATATAATTTACCATCCCTAAAAAATATCTTCCTCACCCTGATGAAGTCTGCCCTCAGTGCAAGTACTGGAGAGCTGGCTGGAGGTTAAAGAGCATGTTCTCACACAAGGTCATAAATGATGGGGAAGTGTACTTGACATACTGTTATTGGTTCTCTGATGGTTTGTTTATAAGTTTAACAGTCTGCCTTGGAAAAACTAACCACAATTCAGGTTATGTTTTCTAGGATAAATACATTCCAAGTTCTAAATACTGTGTACTGTTTTGAAAACACATTCATTCAGGGACGCCTGGGTCGCTCAGTCAGTTAAGCATCTGACTCTTGGTTTCAGCTCATGTCATGATCCCAGGGTCATGGGATTGAGCCCAGCGTCAGGCCTGCGCTGACTGTGGAGCCTGCTTAAGTTTCTCTCTCTCTCTCTGTTTCTGCCCGTCTCCCTTGCTCACTCTTTTTCTCTAAAATTAAAAAAAAAATTTAATGCACTCCTGCATAGGCTGTGAACTATCCTTAGAATAAACAGAGGTTACTGCTTCAAGTACTACTATAGTAACGAGGGTTTGCCTGCAAACCTGAGATATGTTTATCAACAATTCCTTAACCTAGAAGAACAAGACGGTAGTCCTTAATAAATGAGTCATGTTTATGTTAAATGGATTTACTTACAAATCATATTTACTTACAAGTCAATATTTACTTAGAAGTCATTGAACTAAAAGTCTTTATTTATTTTGAGAAAGAGAGTGCATGAGCCCGTGCGAGCAGGGGAAGGGCACAGAGAGAGAGGGAGGGAAAGAAACTCCCAAGCAGGCTCCACACTGGCAGCGCGGAACACAAAATGGGGCTCGATATGGGGTTCAAACTCACGAACCATGAGATCATGACCCAAGCCAAAACCAAGAGTCGGTCAGTAACCAACTGAGCCACCCAGGTGCCCGGAACAAAAAATATTTTATCGTTCAGTAATTAAAATGACCTTTTTACCAAATAGAACAGATTTTTTAATGTTTTTCTATAATTTTGTAGTACCTAACTTGGTATTACTATTATAAAAAGTCTTGTCAGCTTATTACTTTCTTTGACAGATGGTTTTTTAAGAAGGCATTTTGAATTTTTTTTCCCCTCCATAGCTCCAGAAAAGGAGAAATGTTTAGATTTAGCTGGCAACCCAGGGATCCTGTTGTTTGAAATCCTATCAAAGCTTGTAGAGACTTCAGCCTTACCCAGAAAGGCTATAATGGAAATAGTAAGGTAAGTGGCAAAGAAAGGGGTAAAATCAGCCTTCTTGGAAGCATTTATGAGGATATTTACAAGGCAGTCACCTCTGATGAAACATCCTACTCCACAGGGTCTGCTCCCAAACAAAAGAGATGGGGTCTGTGGCAATCCTCACGTGCCACAACATGAGACCTAACCCCTTCATCCCAGCTGTGCTACCTCGCTCTGAAATTGCAAGACTGACCTCAGACCATCTCGGGGCCCACTGAGGGCCTAAGACAGCCAAGAAAGTTCAGACTCTCCTACCCGAGGCTAGAGAATCCCATAAGAATTCAGACTTTACTAGGTCAGGCAGAGAAGGACAGATACCATATGTTTGCACATATAGGAGGATTAGGAGGAAGTTAATGGAGGACCGTGGGGGAGAAGAAGGGAGGAAATGGTGGGGGAAAGGGAGAGAGGGAAACCATGAGAGACTCTTGAATGCTGAGAACAAACTGAGGGCTGATGGGGGTGGGGGGTAAGGAAAGGGGGATGATGGGCATGGAGGAGGGCACTTGTGGGGATGAGCCCTGGGTGTTATATGGAAACCAACTTGACAATAAACTATTTTTTAAAAAATTAAAAAAAAAAAAAAAGAATTCAGATTTTTCCAAGGATGATTTTGCGCTAGGCGTGGAAATCTAATTTGGAAGACACTCTCATTCATGTTAGAACTACCAGAGGCTCCCAAGAGGTCCTTTGACTCTGGGACAGTGAATAGCAATCTCATACGTCCCAAAGTAGCCTTTTGGACTGGAGAGGAGCCAGAATTAGACCTGAGAATAGAGGTTGAGGAAATACTCTCACACCCAAATGTGTTTTATTCCTGCAAATACCACTAAAGATAAATTTCTCCAATCTATTTTTATCATTATATTATAGATATTGAATGTTGCTATTATCAATCTTTATAATTCATACTCTCAAACTTGTGCCTTCCCTCTTAAGCTTAAAAATACAGAATGTTTTCAGAATCCTCTGCATGTAACTCTGTGCTGTCCTATATCTGTCAGGTGTGGAACGCAAAATTCTACTCTTCATTCCAGTTCAAAGGCATTTATTAAATGCCTGCTATTGGTACACAAATTTGACACATTGCTTAACCTTTCAGCCTTGGTTTTCTCACCTATAAAATGGGAACAATAATAATAATACCTACCTTATAGGGCATTTGTGGGAACGATATGTGGTAATGCAGGTGAAGTGGTTCAATAAATATCCCTAGAGCTCCATAAACATTAACTATTATTATGTGGAATTAACTAGAATAATCATACAATATATATATTGTGTTTGAATCCTTACCTCCTAAATGGGTACTATCATACTTATTTTACAGATGAAAGACCTGAGGTACAGGTAGTTGTTCTTTGCCCCAAGGAGCAATGATGCGTCGATTTTAGCACAGTCTGATTCCAGAACCCATGCTCTTACCCACCCCTCTCTATGGCCACTCGCACCCAGGAAGTGCTCAGGGAATGTTAGCTGGTATTTGTGTTTTGATGATGACTATGATGATGATGGTTGTTACTTATCATATTCCTGGTTTCTAAGGAGATTGCGAGTTTAATACATAGAATTTGCATTTGAGGAACCTAAAATATAAATTGAGAGAAAAGCCCTAAGTATGTAGACAACTAAATATGCCAAATGAGTGGCAAAGATCATTCATGTAGTTTCCTGAGCAAGCCGGTCTCGAGCTGGGTGATGGTAGGATTTGACAGGTGTTCCTGTAGTTGAGTACAGCATTTACTGAGCTTTATGTGTAATTTCTGAGTGTGCACTTGACACGCATTAGCTTTCGCCCTGATTACTGTCTCCCAACTGGTCTCCCTGCTTGTACCTTTTTACTCCCCACCTGAGCCTTGCCCACTCCCGTCTATTCTCAACACTCCCTCTATCTAACTGATGTCTTAATGACTACAGCACCAAATGATCCTTTTAAAATGTTGTCAGATTGGGGCGCCTGGATGGCTCAGTCAGTTAAGAGTCCGACTTCGGCTCAGGTCATGATCTCACGGTTCATGGGTTTGAACCCTGCAATGGGCTCTGTGCTGACAGCTAGGTCAGAGCCTGGAGCCTGTTTCAGATTCTGTATCTCCCTCACTCTCTGACCCTCCCCTGTTCATGCTGTCTCTCTCTCTCTCTCTCAGAAATAATTTTTTTTTAAAAAACATTTTAAAAAATTAAATAAAAGTAGAATGAGAAGCAGATTGACCCTTAGATTCTTCTCCCTAACCCCAAACAACCAAATGACTGCCTTGACAGTTACTTCTCTGAAGGGCTGGACCAGAAGGTTTGCATCAAGGATATCAAACATCTGATTCCCTTGAGGATGAGGGTATCAGAGTGGAAACAGAGAATTACATGAAAATTCACTTACTGAATGGTGAGATCCAGCCCCTCCCCGCAACCAACCACCTTCTCCTTCCCTAGGTCCCAGTGTACTAAAGCCAGATGTATACCACTCAGTTAAAATATCAAGGATCCCTCTCCAGGGAAATTGACTAGCTCAAGAGAAAAAAAAAAAAAAAAACACAGATACAATTAAAACACTCCTTAAAAAAAAAAAAAAGTCCAATGATGAAACAAGGCTCCAACCAATTACTTGATAGTAAGTACCCACTCAATAAGACCCATCATACCAAAAAACCTCCAACTGGCCTTAAAGAGTGCTTACTCTCACTCTTAAATATGAATAGGCATCCAAGGACTAAAAGAGATTTCAGGGAAACCTGTGCTACAACAGGAAAGAAGGGAGGGAAGGAAGAGGGAGGGGAGGAAGAAACTAATTATAAAAATAACATGGTATATAACCATTGAGCAAAGATTAGTGTGTCAGGGAAGGGGAGACTTACAGATGACAGCAGTGTTCTCAAACTTGAGCACACATGCAACTATTCAAACACACCGCTGGGCCCCAGGGTTTCTGATTCAGTAGGTTTGTGTGAGGACCAAGTATTTGTATTTCTAACAAGTCCCCAGTGCTGCTGATGCTGCTGGCCTGAGAACCACACTCAGAGCCATGGAGTATTCAGAGAACACTTTGAGGGAAAGGAAAGATGAACCTTGAAGGATCTGGTAGGAATTAAATCACACTAAGAGAAATGAGCATTATATATTTTCAGAGGAGCATAAGAACATTGTGGATAGTTGGTTTCAAGGATAGGGAAGGAATTATCTGATTATAAACCAGACTGCTGGGGCAACTGGGTGGCTCAGTTGGTTGAGCATCTGACTCTTGATTTTGGCTCAGGTTGTGATCCCAGGGTCGTGGGATGGAGCCCCAAGTCAGGCTCCACACTGAGTGTGGAGCCTACTTAAGATTCACTTTCTAACTTTCTCTCTCTCTCTCTCTCTCTCTGTCTCTTGCCCCCTCCCTCTCCCCTCTCCCCTGCTCATGCACTCTCTCTTTCTAAAAAAATAAAATTTATAAACCAGACTCTAATCAGAATGCTATCAGCATATCTACCCACCACTGCTGCAGCTGCAACATTTAGAATTTCTTTCCCTCTTTCTGAGAAGAATAAAAAAGGTTGCCTGTCATCATCCCAGAGAGCAGTGAAGCTTCCCATTGCTGTAACAGAAAAACCTGCCTGTGTAATGAATGATGAGAAGCAAGAGCTTGCACAGCTCTTCCTCTGCACAGAGCTTCCTCTGGCACAGTAAGAACTGCCACTCCTCTGCTCGGCACACTGAAAATCGAGGTCTCCCATGTTGGTGCTGGAGCCCCACTATACCAAGGCTGCCATAAACAAGTCCTCCCCCCACGCCCACTTGCAAAGAAACATCCACCATTCGAGCTGCAAGAAGAAATCTGATCCACCATGAGTATTTAAGGCATGCATGTTTGTAAATCAGATGTCTATGCCTTTGGGGATGTTTGTGCTGTGAATGAAAGTCCCTTAGCACATACAGCCTGCTGTATTCTTAAGGTATTTATAAACTAAAATGCACACTAACGTCTCCTAAATCTGTTCATACACATGTGCATGCATACACACACACACACACATACACATACACACACACACACGCTCCAAGAAATACAGTTGTGATTTACTGAACAGTAAGATTATTGATAATACTTCCTTTTTATACTTTTCTGTATTTTCCAAATTCTCCACAATAAGGATTTCTTTTAATTAAAAGAAAGTTTCATTTTAAAACCCAAAGTAATATAACAGTAGGCATGATTAATGTTTGTATTCCAGCTGGTACCACTCACGGCTTTGTCAAGGATATCACCATCAATAGGTATGTTTCTAGACAAGACTTGAGGTTTTAGGGAAGAAGAAGGAAGCCAAAGCCCCAGAACTAGAAATATAAACTAGCCAAGCGGCCTGTGGAAAGATATTCATAGATATTCTACGAATGTCACAAAAATAAGCACTCAATAAATAATACTGAATGAATATACAAATTAAGTTTAAAATAAATGGATTCAGCCTATAACTTGCAACTGGACTTGTTTTTCTTTTTGCCCAACACTTAGGCACTTTTTCACTAGGACTGTATAGCACTTTTTATTCTTTTTTTAATTTAGCTATTTCCGAAGAAAATTCCAGGAAACCACATCAGGAATGGTATGGAATCCCTACACTATGGGTTACAGAAAAAGGAGATTTAAGCAAGACATATGCACACCTCCCAGCTCAAGCACAGCCGCCTTTGCTAATGCTGCCCGGATTGCATTAATGAAAGAAAAGGATTTATTTAAATTTCTTGAAGAGTTCAAAAGTAAGAGCCATTTGTCCTCCCCCACTGTTGTAAAGGATTTATTTATAGATTACTGGTCAGAAATAAATACTAGAGGCCAAGTGCTATACAGGACCACAGTCTATTCTGTCTGGTCTAGGTTACAGGTATCATTTGAAAGCAAATCCACATCTTAACCTGAATCATGATTTAGGTGAAGCTTAGAGTTTGGGAGCAGGGAAGTGGGCAGGAGAGTGAAGGGGTGGGGGGGGGGGGTCATGGCCACTGAGAAGACTAGACAAAGAGCAAAATAGGCACTGCATGTGAATTTACTTGTATGTGAATTTCTTCTTACACTGTTCATAATATCATTTTTATTTTTATCTTTTTAGGGTACAATCCTCCTTCAGATAGCCCATATTCAAAAATACCCATCTTTCCATTGTTTCCTAATGTGGATGGCGTGGTGATGGGAAAGCCATCCAAAGACATACATAAATTAGAAATACTAAGGAGAAGGGAGCCTCTGAACTTCTTTGAGAACTATTTTTTCCATAAAAGAGACTGGAAAGCACAGGTAAGATTTCATTTATGTCACATTAGTTAATTCAAATACTTAAGTTTTGAAGTTCTAACTAAATGGAACTAATAACATGGTTTTTAATGACAAATGTTTTCAGTCATTGTATTTTTTATTTTTGATGTTTATTCATTTTGGGTGGCGAGGGCGGGGGGGGGGGGGGGGGGGGGGGGGGGGCAGAGGATCTGAAGCAGGCCCTGTGCTGACAGCAGAGAGCCCAGTATGGATCTTGAACTCACGAACCATGAGATCACGCCTTGAACTGAAGTCGGGCACCCAAACAACTGAGCCACCCAGGTGCCCCTCATTCATTGTATTTCAAACCAGATTCCACAGGCTTTATTCCTAAATTGAAGCCCAGGTATAAATATTTCATTTAATTTCAACAAATAGTTAACCTTATTGAAAAATACAACCGTAGGCTTGGGGTCAGAGGTGAAAAATATAAGAATAATAACAAAAGAGGGGGCACCTGGGTGGCTTAGTCGGTTAAGCGTCCGACTTTCGCTTAGGTCATGATCTCGCGGTTCGCGGGTTCGAGCCCCGCGTCGGGCTCTGTGCTGACTTCCAGCTCGGAGCCTGGAGCCTGTTTCAGTCTGTGACTCCCTCTCTCTCTGACCCTCCCCTGCTCACACTGTCACTCTCTCTCTCCTAGAAATAAATAAAACATTAAAAAAAAAATTTTAAGAATAATAACAAAAGGGTCCAGGGCACCTGGGTGGCTCAGTCAGTTAAGCATCTAACTTCAGCTAAGGTCATGATCTCACAGTTTGTGGGTTTGAGCCCTGCGTCAGGCTCTATGCCGACATCTCAGAGCCTGAATCCTGCTTCTGTCTCTTTTTCAAGAATAAACAAAGATTTAAAAAAAAAGAAATAATAATAATAATAATAATAATAAAAAGGTCCTCAGATCCTACATACAACTGCTCTCTCATCAACCTAGCAGCCAGAGTGCATCAACTGGCTCTAGATCATGTTTGGGCCAGATGCCATGGGATAAGAGGATCAGGTCCACAACTCACCGAAGCAGTGCTGTGATGGAGGCCATCCTGCCCTTGGACTAGAACTCTATTTATAGTCCTGGATACACCTTCTGGCCTACTTCAATCTCTGAGCTTTAAGGTCTTAGGCAGCCATGCCTTGGTTTCTGGGTATTTTCTCAGGAAGCTCTGACCTTACTCCTGGTTTATGACAGGCCTCCCAGCCTGCAAAACAACATGAAGATTTGACTGGAGACAAGTCCACGCTATAAGGCATCTCTGGGTTCTGGAAGTCCACATGGTGTTCACATCACTATGAAACTTCTAGGAGGCCTTCTAGGCATAGGGTTTGAGTCCCAGAAGCTGGGGGCAAGGGGAGATGGGAAGTTGCTAATCAATCGGCATACAGTCTCAATTATGCAAAATGAGTAAGTCCTAAAGATAGGCTATACAAGACTGCACCTATAGTTAACCATACTGTATGGTACCGTATACCAAAAAATTGTTAAAAGCATAAATCTCATGGTAAGTGTTCTTACCACAATAAGATTAAAAAAAAAAAAAGATTCTAGAGGAAAACAACAGATGCTGCCAAGGATGTGAAGAAAGGGGAACCCTTTTGCACTGTTGATGGGAATGCAGCCTGGTGCAGCAACTCTGGAAAACAGGATGGAGTTTCCTCAAAACATTAAAAATAAAACTACCCTACAGTCCAGCAATTGTACAACCAGAAATTTATCCCAAGAATACAAAAATATTAATTCAAAGGAATATATGCACTTTGATGTTTATGACAGTGTTATTTACAATAGCCAAATTATGAAAACAGCCCAAGTGTCCGTCGATACATGAATGGATGAAGAAGAGGTGGTATACTCAGTCATAAAAAAGAATGAAATCTTGCCATTTGCAATGACACTGATGGAACTAGAGAGTATTATGCTAAAGGAAATAAGCTAGAGAAAGACAAATACCATATGATTTCACTTATACGTGGAATTTAAGAAACAAAACAAACAAGCAAAGGGGTGGGAAATGAGAAGCAGACAGAGAGGCAGGGCACCTGAGTGGTTCAGTCAGTTAAGTGTCCAACTCTTGATTTCAGCTCAGGTCATGATCTCATGGTTGTGAGATGGAGCCCCATATCTGGCTCTATGCTGATGTCTCTCTGTCTCTCTCTCCCAAAATAAATAAATAAACATTTATAAAATTTTTTAAAAAGAGAGAGAGGCAAGAAACAGACTCTTTTTTTTTTAATGTTTTATTTATTTCTGAGAGAGAGAGAGAGACAGCATGAACAGGGGAGGGTCAGAGAGAGAGGGAGTCACAGACTGAAACAGGCTCCAGGCTCCGAGCCAGCAGTCAGCACAGAGCCCGACGCAGGGCTCGAACCCACGAACCACGAGATCATGACCTAAGTGAAAGTCGGACGCTTAACCGACTAAGCCACCCAAGCACCCCAACGGACTCTTAACTATGAAGAACACACAGATGATAACCAGAAGAGAGGTGGGTAAGGGGAATGAGTTAAATAGGTGATGTGGATTAAGGAGAACACTTGTTGTGATGAGCACCAGGTGTTGTATGCAAGTGATGAATCACTATATTGAACACCTGAAGCTAATATTACACTGTATGCTACCTAACCAAAATTTTAATAAAAACCTTAAAAAAGGGGGCTGGGTGGCTTAGTTGGTTAAGCGTCTGACTTCAGCTCAGGTCATGATCTGATTAGTCCATGAGTTCAAGCCCCACATCAGGAGCTTGTGCCGACAGCTCAAAGCCTGGAGCCTACTTCAGATTCCATGTCTCTGTGTCTCTCTTCCCATCCCTTGCTCAGGCTCTGTCTCTCTCTCAAATATAAGTAAACATTAAAAATTTGTAATTAACATTTTTTTAATTAAAAATCTAAAAAAGTAAAAATAAAGATTCTAGAGGAGTATCACAGTCACAAATGACCTCAAGTTCAGACTTTGTTGTTATCTCTGCAGATGAAGTCACCCACAAGCAAATATCATCAAAAAGATGGATATTTTCCCTTTAAATTTATTTCCCAACATTGAGTCCTCCACCTGTGATCCTTATCTGTTCACTGTCAATCTCTCCAAACAGAATATAAGGTTCATGTAGGCAAAGACTTTATTTCTTTCACTGAGGGATCCCTATCACCTAGAACAGAACCTGGCCCATAGGAGACTCAATATCTTTTGGATAAAAGGAAATTATAATACAAAGTCTTTATTTATTAAGAGCAAGACTGTCTCATTCTTGCTTCAGCAGCACATGTACTAAAATTAGAATGATACAGAGAAGATTAGCATGGCCCTGTGCAAGGGTGACATGCAAATTCATGAAGTGTTCCATATTTTTTTTGTTGGGATGAGCACTGGGTGTTATGTGGAAACCAATTTGACAATAAACTATGAAAATAATAATAAATAAAATAAAAATATAAAATAAAATGAAAGTTTATCTAAAAAAAAAAGAGCAAGACTGTCTCTAATCATATCAGAAGAGATAGTGTCATTGGCTACCTCAGTGGTCCCCTTCTTTGTTCTCTCTCTCTCACACAGCAACAAAGTGGCTCTGCTAAAATCAGCTCACAACTTTCCAATGGCTTCTCATATCACTCAGAGAAAAAGCCAAAATCTTCACTATAACTTACAAGATCCCACACAATGTAAACCTGAGTGGCTCAGTTGGTTAAGCATCTGACTTTGGCTCAGGTCATAATCACACAGTTTGTGGATTCGAGCCCCATGTCCTGCTCTGTGCTGAGGGCTCAGAGCCTGGAGCCTGCTTCAAGTTCTGTGTCTCCCTCTCTTTCTGCCTCTCTCTCTCTCTCTCGCTCTTTCTCACACAAATATAAACATTTTTAAAAAGTTTAAATCTATAAACTGTTTTTAAAGGAAGAGAAACAAGCAGTTCTAGTGAGTCCAGGTGAGGGATTACAAAAATAAAAAAATAAATATCAGAATAGAAACCATAATGGAAATAAAGCATGCAAATAAATAAAAAAGAAAGGCTGATTTGAAAAGAATAAAGGAAATTTCTAGAGATTGAAAATACAGTATTGAATAGTTTTTAATTGTACACACCCAGGAAGAGAGTGAACTGGAAGACAGCCGAGGAACTTACCTGGAATGCAACACTTAGAAAATCTAAAGGAAAAACTAACACATGTGCTAGTAGGATCAACGGTTCTAGCATAAATACACACACACACACAAAAAAAAGGTTCCAGAAGAGAAGAATAGAGAAAGTGGAAGAACAGCAATGTTCAAACAGATAATGGCTGAGAATTTCCTAAATTGATGAAAGACATGAATTCTTAGGTTGAAGAAAACACTCTGGAGAAAGATATTTTTTAAAAAAATACAACTTGACGTCACCTGGCTGGCTTAGTCAGAGAAGCATGTGACTCTTGATCTTGGGGTTGTGAGTTCAAACTCCGCATTGAGTATAGAGATTATTAAAACAAACTAAACTTTAAAAATATATACATAAATACATACAACTTGAAACATTGCAGGGAAACTAAAGAACAAAATACCTTAAAAGCACCTGGAGTGAAAAAAAGAGATTACTTATAAAGGAACTAAAAATAGACTTCATGCTCACAAAAATACCAAGCCATAATAATGAAATAATATCCCCAAATTGTATACAGAAAGTAATTCCCAACTTAGAATATAATTCCCAGCTAAACTATCATTCAAGAGTGAGGGCAAATAAAGATACTTTTTTTTTTAAGATTTTATTTTTAAGTAATCTCTACACCCAATGTGGGACTCACAACCCTGAGATCAAGAGTCACATGTGCTACTGACTGAGCCAGCCAGACACCCCTAAAGATACTTTCAAACAAAGAAAATTGAAACAGTTTACCTCTCAGACCATTGTTAAGATAAATATTAAAGGATATACTTTAGTAAGGAGAAAACTAAACCCAAAAGGAAAAAGTGAGATGCAAGGAAGTTAGGTACACTCACTGGCTTTGCTGTCCCTTGAATAGACAAAGTTTACTTCTCATCTCAGTGCCTTTGCATTTGCTGTTCCCTCTACTTAAAAATGTTCTTTCCCCAGATATTTGCATTAATTACTCCCTCACTTCGGGCCTCTACTCAAACGATACCTCCTCACAGAGGCCTTCTTCTTACTACCTTATCTAAAATAGCATCTCCCATCATCCCCTGTGCCTGTATTTTTACCCTGGTTCATTTTTTGCACAGCATGTATCACTATTCAACGTAACATTACATTTCTATTTGCTTAGTGTCTGTCTCCCCACAGGAATATAAGCACCATGAAGGCAGGTGTTCTGGATTGTTCAATGATGTATCCCAAATACTTATATACCTATAAAATTATAATTATAATAATTACATAATTAAGTATATATTTATAATACTATTTTTAAAAATCAATGATTAGGGGTGCCTGGGTGGCTTAGTCGGTTAAGCGTCTGACTTTCACTTAGGTCATGATCTTGCAGTTCGTGGGTTCGAGCCCCGCGTCGGGCTCTGTGCTGACGGCCAGCTCAGAGCCTGGAGCCTATTTCAGAGTCTGTATCTCCCTCTCTCTTTGACCCTCCCCTGCTCATGCTGTCTCTCTCTCTCCTAGAAATAAAAATAAAAATATTGAAAAAAAATAAAATAAAAAAATAAAAATAAAAATCAATGATTAAAAAGAAAAAATATATAGACAATGGGTTATCTTTCAAGTTTAAAATAAAAAACGATACTGAAGGGCACCTGGGTGGCTCAGGCAGTTAAGCGTCCGACTTCAACTCAGGTCATGATCTCCCTGCTCATGAATTTGAGCCCCACATTGGGCTCTGCTCTGACAGCTCAGAGCCTAGAGCCTGCTTCAGATTCTGTCTCTGTCTCTCTTTCCCTCCCCTGCTTGCACTCACTCTCTCTCTCTCTCTCTCTCTCTCTCTAAAATATAAAATAAAATATTAAGAAAACTTTTATAAAGGATACTGAGACTGATTTTTAATAATTTTCAGATATATGTTCTTTAAAAGAGACACACCTAAAATATACCAGAAAGTTTGAAAGGAAAAAGACAGAAAAAGACAAATCAGGCAAATACAAATCAAGGAGAGCTGGTATCAATATATTAGCACCGGGAAAGTAAAATTTAAGGAAAACATAACTAAAAGATAAAGATGCTATTTAATTGCTTTTAAAAATCTTCAAGAAGATATAACTATCCTGAACCTGTATGCACCTAGCAAACTGACAGATAAGGTGACAACAGAATCGTAAGGATTAACTTTAGACTTTTTAAAGGCATTATGCATGCCAAAAAAGTGAATAGGCAAACCCATAATCACAGTAGGAGATATTTATCATGCATCTCCAGAAACTGATAAAGCAGACAAAAAAAAAAGGAAAAGAAAAGAAAGAAAGATGAAGAAAAAGAAAAAGAGAAAGGAAGAAGGAGAAAGAGAAGAAGAAAAAGAAGAAGAATAGAAGAAGAAATCAACTCATCTCACAGAAAACTCTACCTGTTAAGGAAGAGACACATGGAACTAAAGCTTATATAGAATCAGACTCTAGAAAATGTTGATTCCAGACATGGGGAACTTGAGCACATTAGTAGCCAGGAGGAAGGGCCCTTAAAGCAATGGCTCTCAATCCTGGCTGCACAACAGGATTACCAAGGAGAGCTTTTAACAGCCCTGTGCCCAGGCCACAACCCTATCAAATTAAAGCAGATCTTGGGATGGGGCTTAAGCTTCGGCATTTTTTTTTTTTTAAGTTCCAACATGCAGCCAAAGCTGACAACCACTGCCCAAGTCAGAGACACTGAAGTTGTAGGAGAGGGGCAAGTCATTGGTGGAGCCCAGTGCAAAACGGAAATGTAGGGCCCCTTGTCCAAAAATTACTAAGAATTTAAAGACAACAACAGCAGAACAATAAACCAAACTCAGGGTCCTTCTAAGTAAGTGGCTCTGTGTGATTGTACAGATCACACACACCTGAAGCCAACCCTGGACCAAGGGAAATTGAAGGGAAATGGTCCATGGGGCAAATAAATATTCAGCAGGGAGACTTTGGCCTTGAAAATCAGGAAAAACTCTCACACAGAAGAAGCAAAGAGGAAAAGGCAGGCTACAAGATGGAGAAATCCTAGGGTGGGAAGAAGAGTGAAAAGAATTTATACTCCATAGCTCTGGAGAGACAAGATCAGTAGGCGAGGGAGTGTGCAGACATGGTTTTCCAGCAGCTACTAAGAAGACTGCCCTGAGGGCTGTAAGAGAGTTAACGGCAAATGAAGAAAAGTAATGGTATGCAGTAAAAAGGGCCTGCATGAGGAGTGCTTGGGTGGCTCAGTCAGTTAAGTGTCTGACTTTGGCTTAGGTTATGGTCTCACGCTTCATGGGTTCAAGCCCTGCATCGGGCTCTGTGCTGACAGCTCAGAGCCTGGAGCCTGCTTCAGATTCTGTATCTCCCTCTCTCTCTGGCCCTCCCCTGCTCACACTGTGTCTCTGTCTCTCTCAGAAATAAAAATATTTTTAAAAAAATTTTTTAAGAGCCTGCATGAGACTGGGTAATACACGTTTTCAAAAAGTCAATCAGCATATTTACATGATTGCCGCCAGCATTGTTCAGCAGGCCAGGAACAGGGAAAACAGACAGCTGGCTCCCGTGGGAAGTTTGGAAGTACTATATAGGTTGTCCTGTGTGGAGGGCGCCATCTTCATTTTCAGTGCTTGGTGATGGCTTGGGAAATTTGGTGAAGGTAGAGTTGGCGCCTCTCTACCCTCCATATCCATTCCACACATAAACCATCTTCTTTTATTGTTTTAATGTTTACTTATTTATTTTTGAGAGAGAGAGAGAGCGTGCGTGAGAGGGGCAAAGAGAGAGAGGGATACAGATAATCCCAAGCAGGCTCTGCGCTGTCAGCACAGAGCCCCATGTGGGGTTTGAACTCACTAACTATGAGATCATGACCTGAGCCGAAATCAAGAGTTGGATGCTTAACCAACTGAGCCACTCCGGTGCCCCATCTTATGGTCTATACTTCTGGCGAGGCTTTATCATTATGCAAGAGAATTTGCTAAATGCTCACTTACACATGGCGCTATACCAAGTGCCCCAAAATAACTGATGCGTGGCTTAGCAATAACCTTATATATTGTACACAAACCCCTTCATAATGCAATGTTTTTCTGCTTATTATGTCTATGTCATATAATTCCACCGAAAATATATCACTAACCTTCTTTTCTAAATGTGTATGAAGGCAGCAAATATAAAGCCTATTGACCCCGTCTCGGGCTGTCCTACTGACATCCTGGCCATTGACCAACTACTCAAAAAGAAGCAGAATTGGACAGTGACTGATGCAGCAGCTGTTAAACAGCCCGTGAGTATTCACTGTCGCATGCCTTCTCAGAAAGCATTGGCAAGAACATTTTCCATTTCAATCCTACAACCATAAACCCCAAAGTTATTTTTTCTGTTCTATGCCTTTAAAACAAGACAAGCTCAGGTCTCATTTTTACATGTGGCAGTAACGCCTCTTGCTCTATAATCAAATGGATTCAAACGTTAACTGTTACAATTCATCCTGCTAGTCGCCTATGGAAACATACCCGGCATTGTTTCTGGGACATTCATTTGTTTCGTGCTGGAAATAGCGCCTAAGTAAGGCAGCCAGCAGTCACAGTGAGTGGGTGTGCTGAGGAAGTCATGATGAGTGAGAGCCATCTTTATTATAGCAGCTAAGAGAAGAATCGTTCAAGTGCACTTCCTAGGTGCCAAGCACAGTGCTCTATAAGTACTCCACAGGTACTCTGCGGATACCAATTCTTTTACTTATCACAACAATGCTTCCAACAGGTGCTGTTAGGGTTCTTTGTCATTTTATAGATAAGCACAGAGAGGTTGGCTTGTCTAATGATAGAAGGAATAGAGAAAGTAATAGAGAGAGAATTATAAACACTAGCAGCATGGCTCTGGAATCCACTCTTTTAACCACAACTCCATGCTTCTGGACTACTTTTGTGCCCTGACGTCTTAGCAACTTTTGTACCCCACAGAGACAGACTGGGGTGTATGTATTTCGTGCTGCCTTTCTTCTGCATTTGACACTAATGATCAAGCTCTGCTAGATGCTTTCCACTTTCTTGGCCTTTACAGTACTGCGTCTTGCAGCTCTGTGTCCCTTCCTCTCGCTTTTCCTTCCTGAATGTTCATCCTTTCAGTCTTGATATTTCTTCATTTTCCTACTGCTCTTCCCATTATATACACTGATCCAGTCATTTGTTCAGTAAATATTTATACATTATTAACAAAGTTCTAGGTTTACGGGATACCACAGTGGGGGAAACAGAGTTCGTGCCCTCCATGAGCTTGGAGTGAAGGTGAGAAGGAAATACACAGTAGTAATACATGGGGATAAGTGAAACGACGGGTAGTCAGTACTGGTTGCCACAAGAATGAAAGGAGGGGCCTCCTGACCTCTGTCTCATCATAGCACATAATCATGCTGGAGTAAATGGAGGCTCCTTATAGCCAGAGGCCTCCAGCCCAGAGTACCAGATGCCCCAAGGGCTAAGGAGCTTGAGAAAAGCACTATCTCAATCTACCCTTCTTGTTTCAGCTGCCACCTCTATACAGATAACTCTTAAATCTGTCTCTAGCCTAGACTTCTTTCCAAAACTTTCAACTTAGCTCATTGACTGCCTGATGAACATTTTTACCTCACTGTCTCAGCCTATCAAACTCTACCTGTCCAAACCAAACTCATCATCTGCATCAAACTGGCTCTTCCTTGGGGATTCTGTATCTCAGTTGTTGATACCACCCTCTACCAGTCAATGAAACTAGAAAGCCCGAGTCATCCTTAACTTTAGATTGTCCTCACTCCCCACATGCACCTACAACCCAATCTGGCTACTCTTGTTCTCCTGAAAATTTTTCCAGTCTGTCCCCTTCATTCCATCCTTCTGCCTACTGCTTTCGCTGAGGCCCTCGTTAGGTCTTACCTGAACCACCCAACCTCCTATCCCTACCTCACAGCTGCTCCCCTCCACCCATGTTCCACACAGCTGCTGCTGATCTAACATGAAGATGCCATGTCCCTGTCCTGCTTAAAAATGAATGCTGCTTCCCTCTCAACAACAGCAGGATTTTTCAGCTCTCCTTTCTGCTCCACACTCCGAGGGACTTCTCTCACTTCTGTCAGAAACAATTGGTCATTGGGGTGCCTGGCTGGCTCGGTCAGTGAAACATGCCACTCTTGATCTCAGGGTTGTGAGTTTGAGCCCCACATTAGGTGAAGAAATTACTTAAAAATGAAATTAAGAGGGGCGCCTGGGTGGCTTGGTCGGTTAAGCGTCCGACTTTCACTTAGGTCATGATCTCGCGGTTTGTGGGTTCGAGCCCCGCGTCGGGCTCTGTGCTGACTGCCAGCTTGGAGCCTGGAGCCTGTTTCAGTCTGTGACTCCCTCTCTCTCTGACCCTCCCCTGCTCACGCTGTCTCTCTCTCTCTCCTAGAAATAAATAAAACCATTAAAAAAAATTTTTTAAAAAAATGAAATTAAGAAAGAAAAGAAAGAAGGAAACAGTGGCTCACTGCAGCATAATTTTCACTGAGGAAAGGGCTCTCCCAACCTCCCTTAAATCAAGTCTAAGGGCCATTACAGCAGAAAACGATTTGCCTGGCTTACCTCCATTACTCCTTCCCTCCCTCTTTCAAAACTTGACACTGTAGCAACACCAATGTGCTTGTACCTCCTCCAACTCCAGAGGCTTATTACCTTTGATCCTTTGTTTCCGCTAGCTCCTGTCCCTGGAACACCTTCCCATGACGAGTGACTCCCTCAATCCGGCCAAATCCTTGAGGAACTATTCAGCATCTTCTCCCTCCCTGCCCTAAGCTGGATTGAGCACCCTCCTTGGCACTTCTATTATATCCAGAGCCCATCTCCATCTCCCATTTCCTCCTTGTTTCAGTCTATTGTGTTTTTAATATTCTCATAATATTTCTTATCTCATTATTCCCAAATCATACATTTCGATTGTCCATCAACTCCTAACTCGCATGTCCTCAAGAGGTACTACCAATGTATAAACCCAGTGATGTTCAGCTAGCCTGGGAACGTAACTCTTGGGATATCTAGGATTGTGGTCCATAAATCAAAGATACGTTAAGGTAACTCCTTTGAACTTCTGCTCTCTCACTGCAGGTGAAGAAAGCTATCGATACCTATAACTTAGGAATTGCCCTTGAGCACCGGAAAGATATGCTAAATCTCTGGCGGAAGATCCGAGGGGATTTGATTGGAATAGACTCTAAAAATGAGTCCTTTTACGACACCTTTTCTACTTATACATGGTCCTGGAATGTTTCCCAAGAATTACTTTCACCAAAGGACTTAAGACTACATGATGCCTACATGAATAGGAATAACTTCCACAACTCTGTATTCTCTTCTTCCTCGGATATCAGTGAATGTGACACGGACACAGGAAGAAAAAGAAAACGGAAAGGTTTCAAAGGGTTTCGACCATGAGATTTCTACAATTTCTAAACAGCTCATTGCAAACTACTTTTTCATAGATATCAAAATTATGGTTTCTTGCTTTTGTCTAGTACATCCTTAGCAGCTGAAAAGGTTGACATCTTTTGAATTCTGACCAGTAAAAAAGTTTAAGTCATAACGTGGTTTCCCTTTCCTAATTCTTATCTAATAAATAGAGGTCATGCGGTTTTTCCCCAGCAAACAACTGCAATCTGCTGCCCCCACCTGGCTCTAAACTGCCTGGGCACACGGAGCAAACCTGAGATGGGCACTTACCTCAAGGGGCTCTCCCAGTAAAATGCATCTGAGTTTATGTGACCATAAGTGGCATTAGGTTTTTTATTATTTGTGAAAGAGGCCAGAGGCAGCAGATGACAATGATCCTTCAGTTCCAGGGAATAATATCACCATCTCCCAGGGAATCTTGATTACATTTGGGTGTTCCTAAGGCTCCTTAGCTGCACATCTTCAGGCTGATCTCTTGGATCCCTCTTAAAAATAGTTGATCTCGGGGCGCCTGGGTAGCTCAGTCAGTTAAGCACCCAACTTGGGCTCAGGTCATGATTTCTCAGTTTAAGAGTTTGAGCCCCATGTTGGGCTCTGTGCTGACAGCTCAGATTCTGGAGCCTGCTTCAGATTCTATGTGTGTGTGTGTCTCTCTCTCTGCCCCTCCCCTGCTCACACTCTGTCTCTCTCTCTCTGCCCCTCCCCTGCTCACACTCTTGTCTCTCTCTCTCAAAAATAAATAAACAAAAAAAAATTTTTTTAAATAGCTTATCTCATCCATTACACTTGTTCTTTAATGCATTTAATAAAGAAGCACATGAGCTTCTGCACAGCCAAGGAAACAACCCAGAAAATTAATAGGCAACCAATGGAATGGGAAAAGATAGTTGCAAATGACATATCAGATAAAGGGTTAATATCCAGAATCTATAAGGAACTCACCAAACTACACGCCCGAAAAACAAACAACCCAGTGAAGAAATGGGCAGAAGACATGAACAGACACTTCTCCAAAGAGGACATCCAGATGGCCAACAGACACATGAAACGATGCTCAGCATCCCTCCTCATCAGGGAAATACAAATCAAAACCACACTGAGATACCACCTCACGCCAGTCAGAGTGGCTAAAATGAGCAAATCAGAGAACTCTAGATGCTGGCGAGGATGTGGAGAAACGGGCACCCTCCTGCACTGTTGGTGGGAATGTAAACTGGTACAGCCCCTCTGGAAAACAGTGTGGAGGTTCCTCAGGAAACTAACAATAGAACTCCCTTATGACCCAGCAATAGCACTGCTAGGAATTTACCCAAGGGATACAGAAATGCTGAGGCATAGGAGCACATGTACCCCAATGTTCATAGCAGCACTCTCCACAATAGCTAAAACATGGAAAGAGCCTAAGTGTCCATCAACAGACGAATGGATCAAGAAGATGTGGTTTATCTATACCATGGAATACTACATGGCAATGAGAAACAATGAAATCTGGCCATGTGTAGCAACATGGATGGACCTTGAGGGTGTTATGCTGAGCGAAATAAGTCAGGCAGAGAAGGACAAATATCATATGTTTGCACATACTGGAGGATTAGGAGGAACTTGATGGAGGAACAAGGGGGAGAAGAAGGGCGGAAATGGTGGGGGAAAAGGAGAGAGGCAAACCATGAGAGACTCTTGAATGCTGACAAAAACTGAGGACTGATGGATGTGGGGGGGAGGGGGGATGGGCATGGAGGAGGACACTTGTGGGGATGAGCACTGAGTGTTATGTGGAAACTAATTTGACAATAAACTATTTGTAAAAAAAAAAAAAAAGAAGCACATGTATAACCATATTACAAGTTCGGTAGCTATAATTTTTATTGTGGAAAACTATACATAAAATTTATTTTAATCATATTTAGGTGTATATCATCCATTACATTATTTTTTCCTCTTAGAAAAAGGAAAAAATATGTTTCATATTGATGGGGACAGTGGCTTATAATATAAAATCATAATAGGCCAGAAAAAAAGCAATGAAAATAGTAAAGGCTCCTAAAACTATAATGAAACAGTCTTGAAGTCTTGAATTTTGTGTTACCTTGAATAGTCAAAACTGCCTAAATATATTTCCCATTCTTTACAATGTTACGATGTGGAGAAAAAGAACCTTATTGATAAGTGACCAGGTTTCTTACCTGAAAAACAAGGTTTATGGTTTGACAGATTTTATTTTTTGGTTTCACTATGAATGTACTAGGAAATCTAAGAGACGTAATTTGGATGCCAAAATTTGAATTCCTGACATATTTTCTTGGATGAATGGGATAACAGGAATAAAGATTTTTAAGTATATCTGTCCTGGAAAATCTAAAATGTACAGTAATACAGTCTTTCTATCACATTTTCACACACTGTAGTGATAGGTATAAACTGGCATCTTGCCAGTATAGCAATAGCTACTCAGCCATTCATTCAACAATTATTTTTTTAATGTTTATTTTTGAGAGAGAGAAGAGAGCATGTGAACAAGTGGGGGAGGGGCAGAGCGAGAGAGGGACAGAGGATCTGAAGCAAGCTCTGTGCTGACAGCAGAGAGCCTGAGAGGGGGCTTGAACTCTCAAACTATGAGATCATGAGCCAAAGTTGGACACTTACCCGACTGAGCCATCTAGGCACCCATTGTTCAATGTTTATTGAGTTGCATACTCTTTCCTAGGACCTGAATATAACAGTGAGCAAGCAGATAAAATGCTCTGACCTCACAGCTTAGTAATACAGCTAATTATAACCACTGACTCACTACTTCCACTTCTAGACATTATTCCTAAAGAAATAATCATGAATCCACAAAATGACTTAGTTATAAGGATGTTTATCATGTTGGATTTTTTAAAAAATAAACTTAAAGTTGCCTAAATGTCCAGTAAATCATGATACAGTTCTATAAAACAACACTGGGGTCATTAAAATGATGTTCGAAAAGACCTTTCAAACAAAACAAAAGAATGAATTCACAAGCTATTATCAGGTGATAAAATAGGCTACAACTGCTCAGAGACATGAGAAGTCTTTATGGGGTTGTTCTAGAACTTAATTATGATCATGGTTGCACAACTATAGAGTTTTATGAAAACTTATCAAACTGTACACTTAAAATGAATGAATTTAATTGTACGTAAACAATGAAGTTGTAAAGAGGGCATAAAGCAGTTCTGAAACTATTGTAATTTAAAAGATACTTCTATAAGTAAATAAGAAAATAAAGACTGGGAGGATATAAACCAAGTGTTTTTTATTTTATTTTATTTATCTTAATTTTTAAAAAATGTTTTATTTATTTCTAGGAGAGAGAGAGAGACAGCGTGAGCAGGGGAGGGTCAGAGAGAGAGGGAGTCACAGACTGAAACAGGCTCCAGGCTCTGAGCTGGCAGTCAGCACAGAGGCTGATGCGGGGCCGAACCCACGAACCGCGAGATCATGACCTAAGCGAAAGTCGGACGCTTAACCGACTAAGCCACCCAGGTGCCCCTAAACCAAGTGTTTTTTAAACCAAAGTATTTAATGGGTTAAATTAAGGATGGAATGAAGTAGTTTCCTTTTTTCTTTTGTCTAAATGTTCTACAATAAAACATTTATTTTGCAATAAGAAAAAACCCACAAAGGGCTGTTTAAAGTTGTTAAACCAGCTTATTCAATTATCTAGGCTGCTACATGTTCTGTGAAACTTTAAGGAGAGCAAATTGGGACACCAGGATCCCTTCCCCCGCCTTTCAGTTCCAGAGCACATGCTTACACAGACCAGAATTTCCTCTGATTGGAACTGAAAGAAAAGCATGAAATAATTAACTACCAGTGTCCCAGGCTGACACCCAAGGCAATGATCCAGACTGAGAGTTCTTAACCTTTCCAGGCTTTGAACCCATGCCACCCAGCTAGAAGAGCTCTTGCAGCTCACCAGCAGAGGGACCCTTAACTCCCCTGAAAAGTTCGGCTTGCAGAAGACACAGTCCAGTGTAAAGTCTGTTAGCACAGAGGACTCAGAGTCACGTCTTCCCAATTTCTTCACAAAAATGATTTTAGGTGCTTCAAAAGATGGAGAAAAATGAGTTGTACAGGTCAACCAAAGATCACTGGATGAAAATTTAGGATACTTTTCTCACATTTCACCAAAAGGGCCCAAGTTGTTTGACACTTTAAATGTCTAGTTATGGGAATTAATATAATAAGTGATTTCAAGTGAAAACAGTGAGCTCTCTAAAGCAAGCTATGCGGTGAGACTGTTGATTGGGAGCAGGCATAGCTTCTGGAATGGGGAGATAAAAGAGTGTAGAAGAGACAAGATGACAAGGGTAAATAGAAATCAACCACTATATCAAACACCTGGCCTTGAGAAACGATAAAATCCTTGTAACTTGTTTTTTTGGAAAGGAGGTCTTGTGCAAAATGTTTCCAAAGACCATGAGAATGGCAAAAGCGTTTTCAAAGAAAGTACAAGTTCTCTACTATCTTGTCTTTTCAACTCACTCACATATTTTTCTTTGTGATTAAGGAGGGTTTAGGACCTGTTGCCATTTCTTTTCTGAGAAAGATACAGAATCTCTCACAGCTCGCTTCAGTTTTGCCTATGGAAAGAATCCGCAATGAAGTAACCATCACTGGTTACCAGTGTGCGCAGTGTAGTAGTGCAGCACCTAAATAACTAATTAACCCTTTCCTTATCTTCTTCCAGATGGTAATCGTTACTCTCCTGGAACTGTTCTCCACGAACTTTGTGCGGACAGCATACTTTCTTCCAGATTCTTTTGAGAATCGTCTGTAGTAATTATCAAAACAAATGTAAGGCTGAAAATGTATTAACATAACAAACTATGTGTGTTTGTATTACAATCCTGCTTGTGTGAATAGGTTCAGAAATGGATAATTCCAAAAAGTATGTGGTTACAAAAAAATGTTTTAACTGTCCTTAGATGGATAGTCCTTCTGATTCAACAGATAAACCTCGCGCTCTCAGAATTCATTTCATATCCTCCCCCTGGAAAAACAGTAATTTTTTTTTTCATAGCTTTTCACACTATGAAAAGTGGACTATACAAGCTGGAAAACTGCCTGATTTCCTCAGTCAGCAGAAGCTCTATGGGACTAGCTGCCTTTAATTCTCAAAGTGATTTTTCCTGTCTTAAAACTCGAGGGAGGCTTGCCTGGGCGGCTCAGCCAGGTAAGCGTGGGGCTCTTGATTTCTGCTCAGGTTCTGATCTCACAGTTCAGGAGACGGAGCCCCCCTTCAGTCTCTGCACTGACATTGAGGAGTCGGCTTGGGATGCTCTGTCTCCCTCTTTCTCTCTCTCAAAATAAACATCTAAAAAAAAAAAAAACTTGAGGGAAACAAGGGAACCTGTTAGAGAATCCCAGCATAGAGAGTAGTCTCAAGATTAATTAATGTCTCTCATTTTCTGCAACACCATAGGGCCTCCTGGCAGGACAAGGGCGATAGGAAGCCCACCCGGAGAAGAAATTCCGCCAGAGTGCGCGTCCTCCCCAGACAGCCCATCCCCAACTCAGGCCCCGCCCCCTAGTGGGCGGGGCTAGAGCACCAACCTCCACGGGCCACTTCAGGGCTGCCCCGCCCCGCCCTGGTCCTTTCCCGCCCAGACTCCGCGACTTCCGGAAGGGGGCGTGGCCCCGCAGGAAGTTTTCTCTTTAAGGAGGAGTAGGCATATCCGGCTCCGGTGTCATGGCCGGTCCCTACCCCGAGTGTGCGCCGGCCGCCCTCGGCGAAAAGAGGCAGCAGTTTGGGAGCCGGTTCCTGAGCGATCCGGCGTGCGTCTTCCGCCATAATGCCTGGTAACCGCCCTGCCCCTGGCCCGCCGCCTCGTGCTCTCGGAAAAGCCCCTGACCGCCGGCCACGAGCCCCGCTGCCCTGCTTGAGGCGCTCTCCTCCCATAGGAGAGGCGATCCGGGGCCAGCGACTCACCCTGCCCGCGGCTGGAACGTGAGGCTTCTAAGCTGCCCGTTTGATTTTCCCAGGGACAATGTTGAGTGGTCGGAGGAGCAGGCCGCGGCGGCGGAGAGGAAAGTCCGGGAGAACAGTACCCAGCGAGTGTGCCAGGAGAAGCAAGGTGCGCCCAGGTGGGCCCTCCGTGGTGTCTGCAGCCAGTGTACTACTGAACGCACTGTCCACCAGAGGCAGAGAACCGAGACCGCCAAGAGCGTTTGTCACTGGACTGATACTGAATTCGGGGGTAGAACGGGAGGGGGAGGGGATGGGTTAGGATGGGACAGGGCTTCACCCTAAAATTTTGTCAGAGCAAACAGGGAGTTTTGTGTTTGACTTTATTTGAAAGTAACTGTATCTTGAAATTTTCTAGCGATTAAGTTTTAGTTACGTTGACTAGATCCATGCTACTATGACTCGCCTTTGTCAACCGTGTGGTCACGTAATTGACTTAGAGGCTGTGCTTTTTGTATATGATTACACTTTCGCTGAGAAAATGTTGTGATTGAAGCTAGATTCTAGTGATCTAAGTGTTGGGGGAGGGAGCTAATGACTGGCGAATGTGTCTTTTCCTCCTATGATGGCTATGAGGATTTAGGGCTTCTGCCAAGGAGAATTGGGTGAGGTGGAGTGTAGATATATCTGGACGAAGAAATAGAGGCCCTTTCTGGAGAGGTGGATGATTTCACTGCAAAATATCTCCAGGTCCTAAAACTAGGACTGATGGGCCTTTGTCCTAAAAAACCTGGAAAGTAGGACTAGAAATTGGGAGAGTAGTATCCCACAGTTGAGTAAAAACAATTAGAAGATTCCAGTTACAAAATAGTCACCTTGCATACTTTGACAGAGACTAGATCAATGCAAGTTAGAGTTGAAAGGGATTTTGAAAATCATGTAGTCCAATATCCTCTTTTTACAGTTAAAGAAACTTGGACCACAGGACATTAAGTGCCTTGCCCAGAGGTAAGCAGTTAGTTAGTAGTGGCAGTGGTGGAACTAAAATCCAATTTCTTAGATTTGTGTTCTTTTCTACTACACTACTCAAGGCCCTGTAGAAAACAAACCTAAAAAAAAAAAAAAAAAGAAGGAAGAGGAAAAAAGAAAACTAAACTCTAGCACTGCCTTGATCACCTTGAACTACAACGTAAACAGTCCACCCTTCTCAGTCTCTCCTTCCTCCCTCCCTCATCAAAACTGCTCACCTGAAGACATTTTCCCCTCTTGTCAACATTTCTACTTTCCTTTTAGCCTTGTGTCCATTTTTAGTATCTCATAGTATTACTGAATTCATTTCTTCGCTCCACACTCTATAAAGGACCACAAACAGAAGCCTGTTTTAAGAAGAGCTGCATGTATCATAACCATTGAGTTTACATGGGGAATAACTGAAGAACCTGGGATGTTTCACTCATAAAAGAGAAGGCGTAGAGGGGGAAATAACCGCCCTTGAGGCAAAAGAATTGTTCCATATGGCCCTAAGAAATAGTAGGACTTTAAAAACAAGAAGAGGTGGGGCGCCTGGGTGCTTAGTCGGTTAAGCGTCCGACTTTCGCTCAGGTCATGATCTCGCGATTCGTGGGTTCGGGCCCCGCATCGGGCTCTGCTGACTGCCAGCTCAGAGCCTGGAGCCTGTTTCAGTCTGTGACTCCCTCTCTCTCTGACCCTTCCCTGCTCACGCTGTCTCTCTCTCTCCTAGAAATAAATAAAAATATTTTTAAAAAAAATAAAAAAATAAAAACAAGAAGAGGAAATGAAATAGTAGGACTTTTTGACCAGAAGATAGGTTTTTTTGCTTAATGTTAGAATTTTCTAGTAGTTAAGAGCCCCCCCAAAGATGTGGGTGGAGAATTGGTAGTAAGTTCCCTGGCAGAAGCTGGACTCCCTAGAAGGGCAGGATACAGAGGAAATTGAGGTGTAGGGCACATGGTCGAACGAAAAGATTTCCATCGCTGAGACTATGGTTCTACTTGAGGGTACTTTTAGTATAAAATGGCATTCAATTAGGCGGGATGGTATTTGACATTAAGGACAAATAAAAGCTTGAGAGATGGTTTTCTAAACTCTTCCGTTACTATTTACAGTTGATTATGAAACCAATGCCCACAAATACTGGAATGACTTCTATAAAATCCATGAAAATGGGTTTTTCAAGGATAGACACTGGCTTTTTACCGAATTCCCAGAGCTGGCACCTGGCCAAAACCAAAATCACTTGGAGGATTTGCTCTCTGAGAACAAGAGGAGAGAAGTGCCTGAACGTAGGAGCAGTGAGGATGGACCTGGTTTAAAAACAGAACAGCACAAGTATTCTTCAAATAGCCTTGGACATGAAACACAGACGGCTCCTGTGGAAGAAAATGTAACTCAGAGACTCAGTCACCTGGAAATCTGTGCTGATGGGTTCCCTGGATCCTCAGCCACCTACCGAATTCTCGAGGTAACCGCCCTTTACTGTCCTGATAGTGGGGTTAATGAGGCTTTTCTACATAGGGCTGGCCTAGGGACGCTGACCGCAAAAGTGACTCTGTCTGAAGAAGCTGACTAGACTTGACTGCCTATAGCCTAGAAACACCTCCATTTTTTAAAACTAATGATGTGTCCTAAATTCAGACCGGCTATTTGGTGGTGGTAGCACACAAAGATACATTACCTGAGGTGCTGCCTGGGAACATCGAGTACTGCACTGAACGTTGCGGCACCGTGCTGTACCTACCAAGCGGAAATGAGTCACAAGACAGTCTTTTACTTCTCTTGGAATTCACTTACAACCTGGAGGGGTTGGCTGGGGAGATGCCCGCTTCTCCGGCATGAGAGAATTCCGGTGACTAGACACTCTCCCGGAAGCTGGTTAGCCTAGCGTTGAGTATACTCCAGCATGATCTTGCTGCTAGTCCCTTACCCTCCCCAAGCAGAAAGGACCTCTGCCTCTGTCTGCCTCCTAGTTGTTATGAGGATTGCAAAGAATTGCTTCTGGCAACTATTAAGCCCTTAGTGTATAGTGCTGTTTTTGTTATTACCACACCTAGCCCGGTCTAATCTATAGTCCCCTTTTCATACATTTTTCAGTTTAGTCTATTAGAAACATTTTTTCCAGGGGCGCCTGGGTGGCTCAGTCAGTTAAGCGTCTGACTTTGGCCAGGTCATGATTCGTGGTTTGGGAGTTTGAGCCCCGCGTCGGGTTCTTTGCTGACAGCTCAGAGCCTGGAGTCTGCTTCGGATTCTGTGTCTCCCTCTCTCTCTGCCTCTCCTCTCTCTCTCTCTCTCTCTCTCTCTCTCTCTCTCTCTCTCTCTCTCTCTCCCTCCCTCCCTCCTCTCTCAAAAAATGAATAAACGTCAAAAAAAATTTTTTTTTAAAAAGAAACATTTTTTCCAGTAATGATACAGTGCAGCTCAGTAAGAAAATATTTCATCTATAGGACTGTTTGCTAAAACTGAAAAAGTAAAAGCAATCCGTGCCCTTTTTCCACACCAACTCCCTTCTGCTGTTGAAAGCCCACACTTCCAAAGTCATCTGTAGCTGCCTCTTTTAGACTTTCTGAGATCAAGGTCAGGGAATGTCATGGGTACTATTTAGCTCTGGTCACCACACCTTCCCTGATACAATTAGGAGGCAGGATTATCTACTGATTATTTACCTAGCTCCAGGAATTAATTTTTTGGAAAATCCTGTAACTGAAAGTTCATTTCTGTCTGCAGGTTGGTTGTGGTGTGGGAAACACAGTCTTTCCGATTTTACAGACTAACAAGTAAGTATGTTTAAAGTTTTAACTCTGTGACCGCAAAGAAGAAAAAGGGGTTTGGTGTTTCTCAGAACTGACTGCAGCAAACTGGCAACGGTGGTTATTGGGAACCATGGGTGACAGGAGATTCAGATTTCTACATTATCTATTTGTGGTTTTGATTTAATTTGATTCCTACATTATATTTGTCATCAGGAAAATTAGTAAGATTCAAAACCTGTTCCATTGTAATTATATGGTGTCTTTGATATTTTAACCTCTGCTACACAGGAAAGAGAACAGACATAATTCAGTTTATAGTCTTAATTGTTCTACTGGTTTTTTTCTGCCCATTTCAGTGATCCAGGACTCTTTGTTTACTGTTGTGATTTTTCTTCCACGGCTATAGAGCTGGTCCAGGTAAGTACAATTGCTCCTACCCGTCGTTTGCACTGGTTAAAGGGGAAAAGGTCTTCTAAAAATCAGGGTGTCTAGCAATGTATTTAATTCTTTGAGGTTTTTTTTCTTTTACGTTTTTATTTATTTATTTTTTTTAGAGAGAGGAGGAGGGAGGGAGAGAATCCCAAGCAGGCTCTGCACCAGCAGCACGGAGCCCAGTGTGCGCTCGAACTCACAAACCGTGAGATCATGATCTGAGCCAAAGTCAGACATTTAACCCACTGAGCCACCCAGGCGTCCCTTTTATTTCTTATTCTTTTTTTTTTTTTTTTAATGTTTTTATTTATTTCTAGGAGAGAGAGAGAGAGAGACAGCATGAGCAGGGGAGGGTCAGAGAGAGAGGGAGTCACAGACTCAAACAGGCTCCAGGCTCTGAGCTGGCAGTCAGCACAGAGCCCGACACGGGGCCTGAACTCACAAACCGCAAGATCATGACCAAGGCGAAAGTCGGACGCTTAACCGACTAAGCCACCCAGGCGCCCCTTATTTCTTATTCTTATGCGGTCTGAAAATAAGAGATTTACAGGCAGGAGTAGAGGGAAAACCCAAACGTGAATACAGAACCTGTCACTGGCCAGCTATGGAACTTTGGGGTCTGTCTTCTGCCCTATCCAAATTTTCTTTTAAGGATTGAAATGAGAAGACTGTTTCTAGTCAGAATTCTTTGAGTTATAAGTCACAGAAATATCTAGACAAGCTCAGCCAATGAAAGAAAGAGAAGTTCATACAATCCAAAGACATAGAGTGTAGCCAGGATTGTAACTCAGCCCTGAAACGGTGACAGATACCAAGGCAAGTTGACTAGCCAATCACAATACCTCCCTTGAGTTCGTGCTTTCCTATTTCTCATAGCTCAGTGCCCACTCGTCCTTTATTTGTCCTCTGTTTACAGACCAGCTTTCTGTAATAGGTGTTTCCTGGTTTTACATCTGACCCTGACATGCTCACCCTTTCCAGTCCACCCTGTTCAGGCTTCTCAGAACCTCACCAGCATGACTTGTCCTGATTCCAAAGTCCCCAGGAAGAGTCTGATTGACCCAGCCCAGCTGATAATCCACTTGCCCTGTTTGAATTAGTGGGGGCCAATTAGGAACAAAGTCACATTTTTGGAGACGAGAGATACGAAAAGGGAAATTAGCCCTAAAATATGTCTGTTACAATCATGTCTAATGCTTGTAGCATGGGAGCTCCAGAATTGGTAGCTGTGTCTTTCTGGAGTTACTTTTATGGATCTAGACCAGGTGAATATTGAGGCTTATCATTAGTTAATTTAATTTTTTTCTTTAATTAATTTTATGGTAATAAAATTAAAATTTCCACATCTAGAGAAGTAGGTTTTCCTGGAGAATTCTCTGGTCTGTGTAATATGGTAAATAGTTGAGCTGGGAGTTGTTTCAAATCATGCTCTTAAATGTTTAAATATCCGTATGTTTAGCTTTCTCCTGATGGGGGTTTTCTTTTTCCTTATGGCCACTTACCTTCCTAATCATATTCTATTCTTCAAATCCAACTCTGCATCAGAGTAAAAAATAAAAGTAAAGGAACGAAAGAGAGACAGCATGAGCAGGGGAGGGTCAGAGAGGGAGACACAGGATCTGAAACAGGCTCCAGGCTGTAAGCACAGACCCCGACATGGGGCTTGAATCCACAAGCTGTGAGATCATGACCTGAGCCGAAGTCGGACGCTTAACTGGCTGAGCCACCCAGGTACCCCCATTTTGTTTTAAAAGTACCAGTTAAGGGCACTCCGGACTGGCTCATCAGTAGAGCACGCAACTCTTGATCTTGGATTTTAAGTTTGAGCCCCATGTTGAGTACAGACATTACTTAAAACAAAAATCCTTTTTTTTTTTTTTTTTTTTAAAGTTTTGAGAGAGAGAAAGCACTAGGTGGGTAGGGGAAGAGAGAGAGAATCCCAAGCTGCACTGCCAGCGCAGAGCCCAATGTAGGGCTTGAAGTCACAAACTCTGAGATCATGTCCTGAGCCAAAGTTGAACATTCAACCGATGGGGCCAGGCCAGCGCCCCAAAATTAAAGTCGAATGAATGACTGAATGAATAAACAAACAAACCAGTTGGATTCCACAAGCTTCTTCCTGGAATTGTCCAAGATTCTTAGCCTTTGAATATGAATGCATGCCTTCATGATGAGAGCGATAACCCTAGCGCACTTACAGTTGAAGCAAGATAAGATTTCCTTGAGACTGTGTGAACGTGAGTGTGTGTGTGAGAACATTTTGTAACCAGTGTGTCTCTCAACTGTCTGCAGACAAATTCAGCGTATGATCCTTGCCGGTGTTTTGCCTTTGTTCACGATCTGTGTGATGAAGATCAGAGTTACCCAGTGCCCACGGATAGCCTTGATATCATCATTCTCATATTTGTTCTTTCCGCAGTTGTGCCAGACAAGTAAGTTTGAGATCCCTTAACCAGCAGTGTAACAAAAACAAAGCGTTGATCAGAGTTGGACCCTGAGTAAGAAGGATCATCTCCTGGGCAGGGAAAAGCCACTCTGTCAAAGTGCTGAGAGTGTCTCAACCCTTTTACTAAATTTGTTTGCAAGTTCCCAACTTCAGTTTCAGCCTCCAAACCTCTGCCTGTTGACTGCAGTGGTTAGTTCTTTTCATTGTTATGGTTTAACATTCATAAGGAATGGGAGAGCAGGGTTTTTTTAAGTTTTCTTTTAAGTGATCTCTATCTACACCCATCGTGGGGCTCAAACCCACAACCCCAAGACCAAGAGCCATACACTGTACCAACTAAGCCAGCCAGGCACCCCCATTGGCCTTTTTAAATGCTTTCAGTAAACTAAGTGTATTAACAACACAATTTGTGGTGAACCTTAACTCAGGTATTCCTTTATGCTTAAGTTCTTTGGAAAACTGCAGTACTAGAGAATTACATAAAATCAAGTTTAGATGAAAGGAAAGTCAGTTGCTGAACCCTAAAATATACTGTTAAAGCTTCTCAGGAACACCAGGGTGGCTCGTTTGGTTAAGTGTCGACTCTTGATTTCAGCTCAGGTCATGACCTCCGGGTCATGAGATCAAGCTTCAGGGGCTCCTTGCTGGGCGTGGAGCCTGCTTAAGATTCTTTCCTTCTACTTCACCCACCCACCCACGCTCACGTGCACTCTCTCCCTTAAAAAAAAAAAAAATGGGCGACCAGCTGTCTTGATGAAGTTCTGCCCTTAGGAAGCAGCATCAGCCAGAGACCCAGGGGGGTGATTGATTTTCTCTAGCCCCCATTTCCTTTTGGATGGCACACTGAGTCATCTGACCTGACATGGATATTGTGAGTGGGGATAAAGGCAGATGCAGGACAGCCCAGGCATGCTAGGCATGCTTCCAAAAACTGCTGAAGTTCAGGGACACCTGGTTGGCTCAGTCAGTAGAGCATGTGACTCGATCTCAGGGTCATGAATTCAAGCCCCACATTGAGTAGAGTTTACTAGATAGATTTTTTTTTTTAAGTGGCAGAAGTTTAATTGCTATAGACTTAAAAACTGACGTGGATTAAAAAAAAAAAAAAAAAACTGACGTGGACTGAAAACAAAACATTAAGATTAAAATTCATCGTTCAGTTTTTAAGTAAGTGTGTAGCACTTATCCTTCTGAGGTTAGCACCACCGAAACCCCCACAAGGACTGTGTATGGAAAGTGCAGGCAGAATGGAAAGCGTTCCGCCAAAGTGCTTATTTGCATGCTGACTCAGCTTGTCAGTTACAAGTTCTTAGGGTTTGGTCTTCAACAAATAGAAAGACACCGTCTCTGCACGCAAAGAGCCAAAGAGCTCAGGCCTGAGCGGGAGGTGGAGGAGTCCACCGACTAGCAGTCCTCACTGCAGGTTTTCAGGACGGCGCCCAGAGAGCCATAGGCACACAGGGCAGTGGCGGCTTCCCCGGGAGGTAATCCCAGGAGTGGACAGTGAGCCAGACGGAGAGTATGTCACTTGGCCCACGGAACTCTCCAGCAGAGGCAGGTTATCCTTGGGCCTCTTCGTGCTGAAGGGACCGGGTCAAAGCCACGTTCAGGAGCAGACTGCAGAAAGCACATCAGAGGCGTCGACGCACACTCCTGTTCTCAACCGAAGCGAGAGCAGAGGAGCTGAGATTTCCGGGGCCGTGTGTCAGCAGGGTTAGGAAGTCCACCGGCTCTTCCAGATGTGCTACGAGGAGAAACCCTGTCCCGTAAGGAGACCTGATCTTCCTTCTCTGTTGTCCCCCAGGATGCAGAAGGCTATCAACAGGCTAAGTAGGCTTCTGAAGCCTGGAGGGCTGATGCTTCTGCGAGATTACGGCCGCCACGACATGGCTCAGCTTCGGTTTAAAAAAGGTATTGTGGGCACGTCTGAGGGTTCAGTCAGTTAAGTGTCTAAACTTCAGCTCAAGTCATGATCACGTAGTTAGTGAGTTTGAGCCCCTCAACAGGCTCTGTGCAGACAGCTCAGAGCCTGGAGCCTGCTTCAGATTCTGTGTCTCTCTCTCTGCTCTTCCCTCACTCGTGCTCTGTCTCTCAAAACTAAGTGAACATTGACAAAAAATGTTTTAATAAATAAATAACTGAAACAAAAAAGGTATTATTGGGGCACCTGAAAGGTTCAGTCGGTTAAGCATCCAGCTTCAGTTCAGGTCATGATCTCATGGTTCGTGAGTTCGAGCCCCGCGTCAGGCTCTCTGCTGTCAGCATGGAGCCTGCTTGGGATTCTGTTTCTCCCTCTCTCTGCACCCCTTCCCCCAAGATAAATGTATCAACTTTAAAAATAAAAGGCATTTTGCTATTGTAATCAGAACAACAGATTTGCCATCCAAATAGATGTATAGATCTGTGAAATCGAATAGAAACTCTAGAATTACAGCTTAAAATATGAAGCCATTTAATACATGACAAGGGTGGTATGTTTTTGAACATTTGTGGAATCTAGGTATTGGGCAAGTCTTTTAAACCAAGACCACTGCATTTAGAAGACTAGTTTTAGAAAAAGACATTTGATTACATAAATAATTTTAAACAAAGTGTGGCAGAAGGTGCCATTAAAACAGTTTAAAGACATAACTTGGGTGCAGAGCACAGATAAGATTGCGTTATTATCTGTGCTGTTCGAGGGACTGTTGCCACATTGATAGAGAAAAGATCAGCAACCCACCCAGAACACGGGGAAGGAAAATTTTAGAGCTGATTTCACAGAAGAACATATCCAAATGTCCAAAAACAAACTTGAGGGTAACAAAAATTAAGATGAGATAAGCACTTCTTAAACCTGCTGCCAATTCAAGGAAGGAGCTATGCTTCTCCATTATGGGTAAAAATACACGTTGTTAATGGTTTTGGTTTTGGTCGTAAGATTGTTTTTTTTTTTTAATTTTAATGTTTATTTATTTTTGAAGGAGAGAGACAGAGCGTGAGACATCCAAGAAAAGTCTAAATCTTTTTAACCTTTTAGAAATAGGTTACGTAGAGGGGGATCAGTGCCTAAAATTCCACAGAACTAGAGTTAAGTGGAGACCATGACCAAATAAATATGTAACAAGGACACGTTTTGATGCTCTTTAAAGCAGTGATTTTTTTAATGTTTATTTATTTTTGAGAGAGAGAGAGAATCAGTGGGGGAGGGGCAGAGAGAGAAGGAGACACAGAATCCAAAGCAGGCTCCAGGCTCTGATCTGTCAGCACAGAGCCCTACGTGGGGCTCAAACCCACAAACTGTGAGATCATGACCTGAGCCGAAGTCGGACGCTTACCTGACTGAGCCATCGAGACACCTGTTTTGCTTTGTTTGTTTAAAGCACACTGAGTTGACTCAGTCTAACAGTCCTTTCGGGAATTACTCAAGAACTAGCATGTAATGCCTGTGTAAGGAAAATCTCGAAAACCAAGTGAATGTGTCTGGAGAGGGGAATATTGTGCCTGCTACATGGCATAGACCCCTTACCACCGGTCTTGGAGAGAGTTCCGTTCTGCATTCCCAGATGAGAAGAGCAGTGTGCAGATGAGTGTTTTAAACTTGACCCCACATATAAGAGTAGCTGGGGAGAAATAAGCAAAAGTGAAGCAAATAAAGTTATATTGGCATTCAAAAGGTATAGAAGGGCAACATACCAGGTTGGTAAATTTGACATTAGGTCAGAGGGCTTGGCGGCTGAAGGGAGAGTGTCTGTAACCAGAACAGTGTATGTATTATACTTGTGAACATGTGTGGACACGGGCAGAATGGGAAATGGTCATGGTGGCTAGCTCAACTTTCCTTTTCTCAAACTCCACCGTAGTCCTTGGCTTTTATTTATTGATTTTTTTTGTTTTACGAAGAGTGTGCAGTATTTATTTAATCAGGGTGAGGGGAAAACACTTTCCAACATAAAACAGCTCTAACACAGAAGGCTGAGGTTCGCGTGTGTGTTGTAACACTGAAAATCGATCATTCCCCTTGGGCTCCTCTTCTCCAGAGATTCCTGCAAAGTGCCCACAGTATCCAAGAAAGGATTCTGTTCTCTGCCCAAGAAATGGGTATCAGGATGTACATTTGATTGGCAATGAAATTCAAAGAAGTGCTTTAAAATTTCTCTGATTTTTATTACATCGCTCCACAGGTCAGTGTCTGTCTGAAAATTTCTATGTGAGAGGCGATGGTACTAGAGTTTACTTCTTCACACAAGGTATGAAAACAGTCATCTTTGTTTATGCTAACCGTCCCCAAAACACCAGATCAGATGCGGCCTGGTGTACTCTGGGAAGTAAGACTTCGTGCCCCTCCTCCCTTTTGAAGACTTTTCCTGCCTTTCCTTCCCACCGGGCCGGTTCACTGTTCTCCACACAGGCTCCACGTAGAGGAGCCTTCAGTCTTCCTGTCCTCTGCTGCCTGCGCTTCCTCCCTGTCACTTTGTCCCACAGGGGACACCTGCCCATGTGGCAAGACCCCAGCGTGGCTGCTTTGGCCCTGTAAACCGGGTTATCCGTACATGCACCGGACTGAGGCTGCGCTCCCCGCATCCTGACTGCCAGGTGTCGCCAGAATCACCCTCCTGCGGCTTGTCCTGCCTCAGGGTTCCTCCTCCGCCAGTGTCACCCTGCGCCCTTTATTGTGCCACATACTTTGCGCCATTGGTTAAGATATAGTGGAAACTCTCTGCTAAAAAAGTGGTTTTGACATTACATCTATAGAGATTTTGCATATAACCGTAAGGTGTCCATAAAGCCCTTAAAGTCTTTCCTGTCCACTCTTAGGCCCTCTCTCAGGATTCCAAGGGGCCCTTCCCAGAAGGTTTGGCTTCCCCCATTTAAACATGAACTTAATATTCCCAAGCTGCTCCTACACTTCTAAATAAACAGCCCTGCTAAAGCCATTTAAAACACATAAATAAAAACAGTCTCACGGAGCCCCGTTTAACATAGGAAGTGGTGGACAATGTTTTTTCTTTAGCAGAAAATATGTAAACATCTCTTTTCCAAACCAGATGAGCTGGATACACTTTTCACTACGGCTGGACTGGAAAAGGTTCAGAACCTGGTGGATCGCCGATTGCAAGTAAACCGAGGCAAACAGCTGACAATGTACCGAGTCTGGATTCAGTGCAAATATCGCAAGCCTCTGTCCAGCGCTGGCTGAGAGGCACCCGCTCCTGACACATGAGCCCACTGGAGCTGTTTAAAAAAAAAATATTCATAAGCGGTGTCTCGTTGATGTTGGAAAGTCCAAAGATTCGGACTTGAACCTTAAACCTAGAAAAAATTACTTTTTATCAAGATTCTAATAATTGCACTTCCAATTTGGGAAGCCCTTTAATATGTACTTTCCTAAGTTTTTTTTTTTTACTTTGAGATATCAAAAAATCTTTCTTGCCATTTTGTAATTTATCATAACTAAAATGTTCATGGAAATCATGAATTTAAAAGGCATCAAGGATTTATTTCCATGTGGAAGGATTATACGTGATAAAGTGTCATCTGACGGAATTGCATTAAATTATTTCAAAGTTCAAATATCTGGACTAGGCAATTGATATATACAAAGGTGAATAATGGTCTTGTTCAGCAAGAAGCACATCGAGAAGAATCCTCTTTCTTTGGATATTTTCCTGACTCAAAAATACTGCCTTAGGGGCACCTGGATGGCTGTCGGTTAAGCATCTGACTTTGGCTCAGGTTGTGATCTCACAGTTCACAAGTTCAAGCCCCGTGTTGGGCTCTGCGCTGACAGTTTAGAGCCTGGAGCCTGCTTCAGATTGTGTGTCTTCCTCTCTCTCTGCCCCTGCCCCACTGGTTCTCTCTCAAAAAAACATTTTAAAAAAATCACTGCTTTAAAGAACATCAAATTGTGTCCTTGTTACATATTTATTTGGTCATGGTCTCCACTTAACTAATTCTGTGGAATTTTAGGCACTGTTCCCCCTCTAAGCAACATATTTCTAAAAGATTAAAAAGATGTTGACTTTTCTTGGATGTAAATTTTTAAAAATAAGTAAATAATGGGGGGGATCTTGACTTTTAGCAAAATTGTATCATTTTTTTATCATGCCCTTAAATGTTTGACACAAAAGGAATTGAGAGAACTTTATTTTAGCCACATGACTGTACAACTGAAAGTGATCATCATCAGTATTACTTTTTTTATGTTCTGCCTTTTTTCAGTTACCACTCCTACATGTTTCCCTCTTGGTGGTTCATAAGTTATACAATGTATTCTTAATTTTTACCAAATAAAGAATTTTCAATTCTTCCTACGTTTTACAGTTTCAACTCAGATATTCCCATAGTTGCTCTATTACATGTGGAAATGTGATAAGAAACAAGCATTTTTCTAAATTTCAAATGTAAAGAAAAGTGCCAATTACCAAGAATTGCAAGAATAGCCCTTTTTTTTTTTAGAATAGTTTTTAAGAATAGGTTGCAAGGTGATGTCCCAACACTCTTGCATGTTTTAATATATAATTCCTGTAACTGAAGACATTCTATCACCAAATAAATTCATCAGAAGTAGAAATCAATTTGAAAAACATCCACAGATAACTAAGTTTTCCCAATGGTTCCAATAATATCACCAGGAAAAAAAGTTGCATTTAGTAGTTATATCTCGGTCCCCTGTAGTCTGGAACAATCCAGGCTTGTTTTAATGACCTTGAAATTTGAAGATTACAGGCTCTTTTGCAGACTGTCCCTCAATTTCGGTTTCGATGCTATCTCATGATTTGGTTCAAGTGACACATTTCTGGCAGGAATATCGAGTGATGTTCTGCTCTTCCAATACATCCTACCAGAGGATAACATGATTTTGAATTACCCTCGTATTGGTAATGTTAACCTTGAACATTTCATTGAGGTGGTGTCTGCTGGTTTTCCCCACTGAAAAGTTACTAATGAGCATTTCATAGGATAATGCTTTGAAATCGGGCAAATAACCCATTCCTCATCAGTCTTTACTCCTCGTTCAGCATCTGTGTCCCAATTTCTTGGCTGAATCACTATGTTGGTAGCCTGAGTGTCTCCTAATCCTACCTTCTTTTTTGCATTTGTTGGAGTTCTATAAGGAAAGCTTATGTCTATTCCTTTATTTCTCTTAATATGGATTCAAATTTCTGGTTTATCTAGTGATTATTACATATACTGTCATTATATTGGTGCTCCTGTTACCCCAGATTTGGCCACTGGGAGCCTCTTCAAATGCTCCTGTGATGTTGTGACTGTCCCCATGATTCTCAGAGCACTTCAAACACAAGTCATCCCAAGCTCATCTTCTAGTTTCTCTGCCCCAGTCTGAATCCAGCATTTCCCCCAAGTAGCATTGGTTTCTTTTAGTGCAGAAAGGTATTTAGAAACCAAGCTGACTGTGCTCATTGCTGCTGGGGTGTGCCTGTTCCCAGCCCCCTCAGTGGATGGAGCTCCAAAATATTTGCATGTGTGTACACACACACACACACACACACACACTGTGTGCATCTGTATTTTTATACTTCTGCATATTGAAAACCATCAGTTCAGATCAATGCCTTTGGTTCTGATCCAACACCACAAGATTTATTCTAGTTTTTATTCTCTGTACTTTAGTTTCCTTTTCCAGCAATCCAAACTCCCGTCAACCTCAATACATCAGGCCAGTCCCCTCATATGTAATGTTCTCCTTTTGCCACCATTCACACATGGATGGCCTCCTCACCCCTCGGGCTCCGACACCCACGCCAAGCCAGTATTGGTACAGCTCCCCACCTCACACAGACACCCTCCTCACCTTTCCAGGCTCCAGCACACTACCACTGCCACCCTTCCGCCCTTGCACTTCATCTTGCCGCTTGGCTTCATCTTTAAAAGGTAAGAGAGGGGCGCCTGGGTGGCTCACTCTGTTAAGCATCCAACTTGGGCTCAGGTCATGATCTCACGGTTTGTGGGTTCGAGTCCCGCGTCAGGCTCTGTACTGACAGCTCAGAGCCTGGAGCCTGTTTAAGATTCTGTGTCTCCCTCCCTCTCTGCCCCTCCCCCGCTCATGCTCTGTCTCTCTCTGTTTCAAAGGTAAATAAAAACTATTAAAAAATTTTTTTAAATAAATAAATAAAGGTAAGAGAAAGGGAACTTCCCATCTCTTCCATTACACTGAATATATTTAAAACTGGAAAAGTCTGAGTCACTGGAATGGTATTTCACTTATCTTTTGGAATGAAGAAGAGATATATTAAATGATCCCCTAAAACTTTGCTTTGGCATTTCTGAGGCATTTCCAAGCAACAAGAGGAGTTTTTATTCCATCTTTGGGGCATTTGGCTTGGGCTTTGGGCTTTAGGTATAAAAATGAGCTGCTTTCTGCCTGCTGCTCCCTTTTCTTCTTGGCCATCTGCTAAGTTCTCTTCCCTTGCTCTCTAACTTCTATTGGTCAAGCTGCCTTAACCTCTGCAGGGAGTTTGTGTAATAAATTTTTAGCTTTGGAATCACTAATAATGGGTAGAAAACAAACACAGTCAGGGTAGATTAAGTATGACTTTGGTGCCACTCAAAAGCACACAGACTCCCAACAGCATCTCTTGGTATTCTTTCTTTCTTTCTTTCTTTCTTCTTTTTTCTTTTGTTTTGAAGTATAGTCAACATACAATGTTACATTAGTTTCAGAGGTACAACGTAGTGATTCAACAACCCTCTATATTATGCTATGCTCACCATGAGTGGAGCTACCGTCTGTCACCACACAACACTATTACAGTACCATTGACTATATTCCCAGTGCTGTACCTTTCATTCCCTGACTCATTCAGTCCCTAACTGGAAGCCTGTACCTCCCACTCCCCTTCACCCATTTTGTCCATCCCCCAACCCGCTTCCCCTCTGGCAATCACCAGTTTGTATATTCGGGTCTGATCTCTTGATACTGTTGATGCAAGAAAGTGCTGCATTGGCTGGGAAGGTAGCTCCACGTGTGAAACTGCTCAGGAAGTTGTATGGTTTAGATTCAAGTCTAATGGAGAAGTTTCTGAAACTGATCTGTCTGAGTAGCAGTAACTATTAGCAGCAGAATTATCTCTGAGATAAATTCAGTATTGTTTGAAAAATGAGTAACAGTTTGACACAGGTGAACCAGAACCACTGGTGTAAAACCATGTTCGTGTAGGGGGCGTCCAGAGTCAGGTAACACCTGGAGTGCGTGGGTTCTCACTCTGCGAACCCACTCATCTCAAAGACTCATTCCCTGGTTTGTATACTTCACTTTGGAGCCTGGCCTCTGCTAATGGCATCAATCCTGTGCTTTGCCACGGCCCCACTACCTGCCTTTGTGTAACTTGACACTCTCTTGGGCTCTGGTTGGAAAATTAGGGCCTTGGACACCTGAGTGGCTCAGTTGGTTAAGTGTCTGACTTGGGCTCAGGTGATGACCTCGTGGTTTGTGGGTTCGAGCCCCGCATCAGGCTCTTTGCTGACAGCTCAGAGCCTGGAGCCTGTTTCAGATTCTGTGTCTCCCTCTCTCTCTGCCCCTCCCCCACTCATACTCTGTCTCTCAAAAATAAATAAATATTTTTTTCCACTTAAAAAAAATTAGAGGGGCGCCTGGGTGGCTCAGTTGGTTGAGCATCCAACTTCAGCTCAGGTCATGATCTCACGGTTTGTGGGTTTGAGCCCCGCGTCAGGTTCTGTGCTGACAGCTAGCTCTGAGCCTGGAGCCTGTTTCAGATTCTGTGTCTCCCTCTCTCTCTGACCCTCCCCTGCTCATGCTTTCTCTCTCTCTCAGAAATAAATAAAACATTGAATTTTTTTTTTAAATTAGAGCCTTGGAAACTTAATAGGAAAATGAAAATCCAACGTCTTAAGACATTCTATTTTCCTCAAATTGATCCCTATCTTTGCCTAAAGATGTTACTTCAGTAATCATGGGGAGTTGTATCTAGCTTAAAAGATGAACTCAGGACAAACAGCTTCTTTCTACTCCGTTCACAAAGGTCTGTTCTTTGGTTTGTGGCTTCTGCTGCTATTTTCAGAGCCTGCTGCATCGATGCGTTGCAGGCTTCTATATGCTTCTGAATTTGGTGTGCAGCTTGATTTGGGAACCTTGGTTAGGAGGTGGAAGGAGCTTTAAT